AAAAAAGCAGCTTCTTCAACACCGCTGATGCATAATTGGTGCAACAGCCAGAAGTAACCATACGGAAGGCATTCCATCTCAATGAAGCATCTCCTGAATGACACAGCCAAAGAAAATAGTCACCATGCGTATCAACAGCTCTTTCTGCAGGGCACTTGCTTATCTATGCGCGTAATTTTGTTGCTTCCGATTTTGTGGCCTTGCTCCAAAGTCCCATCGCTAAACTCCATCGGAGCCATCTCTAAACCCTACCTGCTACCTATAAAACATACCTTTTCTAGGGATCCTGATTACCTTGCAAAGTCTGGTTAGGGGGCCCAAGAGCCTCAACATAGCAGTCTTTAGAGGCTCGGAGTAAACTCAACAAGCCCTGCTCCCTGAACCCTGAGCCTTAAGCCCTAAACCCCAACCCTAGCGACAAGCAACCGAACCCCAGACGAGTAGAAAACCACCCTAAACCCTAAACCCTCAACCCTAAACCCCTAAGACTTCTGCAGGATTGCAGCAACGCGGCAGCGCGTGAAAGAGGTCTTCGAGACGCATCTGCGGACGCAGGAGACGAGGGTTTCAGAAGCACAAAGGCTCCATGTACCTTTCTAGCAGATACTCAAGCCTTAAAGGGGTCCCCATATGGGAGTTTCCGAAAATTAGGGGTACCTTATTATGGGGCCCTTATAATCGGGATCCTACTATTTAGGGTACTATATTGGGGTCCCCTGTTTTCAGAAACTCCCATATAGGTACTTTAAGGCCTAAGTATATACTACACGGGCACATGGAGCCTTAGGGAAGGGGTTCCACAAGTATCCCCGTTGTTGCCTTTGTTGCTTTACATATTGAGAGAAACCATGAGAAACCGAGACATCTTGTTCAAGCGTCTGCTGCGCACTTAGGGCCAGAAACATAAAGGTGACCGGTTGTATGTTAATTAACTTCCGATGGTGTGTTGCAACATGGGGTCGGAATGCGTCAAACATTGGGGCTCATATGGTGTTTAGTAATCATCCTTATCATCATTATTGTTATCAGTACGATGATTCTTGCATTTGCATCTTCATGTTGATTTACCTGGTTTTGTATTTCAAGCCACCGTAGCCCACGTTTTTGTCTAATTACACCCAAACCCTAAAACGTCATCCCAAACCATGATCCACTCTACAGCTAGGAGGGCCGGCTGACTGCCTTTCTCCGATCCGCCGCCATCTGGAAGCAGAACTGGCGCGAGCGGGAGAAGGACGCGACTGGATTTGCGACTTGGGGCTTTTAGGGATTATTGGAATAGGGTTAAGAGCGGTGCTGAGGGTTTAGGGCTCGCTACCTTTTAGGGGTTAGGGCATGTCAAACGGTGCTGTAGGGGGTGACTGGATGAGGTTACTCACAAAAGGTGCTTTCGTATCAGTTTACCTATCCCATTATACGTATACCCCCCAACCCTATTCCAATTCTGAAGGCCTTCATTCTATAAACCCTTACAGTAACCTTTTCCTGATAGACCCGACTGTGTAGCAGCTCCCCCTTATGCCAGCCATCCCGGAACTGTTCGTTGTACTTGCCCAGAGCGTCCATATCTACTACTATTGCTGGAACTAGGTTCGCCAAAAACCATGACTAGGATGGCCTTTTGGGGGCCTCATTCCATAATGGCAGTGTCTACGGACTTCGGAAGCCGGAGACGTAGACGAACTCTTGTTGTTCCGTTGCTTTTAATGGCGATTCTGCCGCAAAGAGATGGTAATAGTGACCCCGCCATTCAGGCCACAAGAAGAAGCAGTATATAGGATCAAGGGCTCGATTGACTGGAACGAAGTGCCCCAAGTCTCCACATCATATACCTACTTTAGCCTTAGACTGCTGGTTTTCAAGCGGCTTTAAGCCCAAGGGGGCAAAGGCACATCTGAGGGTGAAGTTTGTCCGCCATGGTGGGAGCTTTTAGGGTTTCGGTCTTCGGTTTTCAATATGGGCTTAGGGTATGGTTTGGTGTGTCAGAGTTTCTGCTGTGGTAGTGCCATGCTTCCTAGTCTGTGTTTATCTGCGTAACGGCCCCCCGATGTTGCCACAACCCATCGTTTCCTAAACTCTATATATAAATGCGGTTTCCCTGCACCCTGAACCTCTAAACCCACGGTTTCCTAAACACTAAACGTCTAAACCCCACATTTCCCTGAACCCTAAACCTCCAAAACCTTAAACGTCTAAACCCTAAACCCACGTTTCCCTAAACCCTAAATGTGCCAAATGCTAGATCTTGGGTCCCTTTGAGTGGTCCTCCTGATTCAGAGCGCAGAGAGGAAAGGATTGGAGGATAGTTGGGTGTACAGGGCGCATATTTTGGTTTAGGGTTTAGGGAGAACAGCAGAAGCAGATCCCGTAATGAGATGATACTAAAACTTAATGAACAAGTATACTCCAAAACCCTCTTCCAATGCTCCAGGACTCGGTACAGTGAAAGTAGTAGTAGTAGTAGTAGTAGTAGTAGTAGTAGTAGTAGTAGTAGTAGTAGTAGTAGTAGTAGTAGTAGTAGTAGTAGTAGTAGTAGTAGGAAGTATATCTGCAAGAGACTTCTCCAACCCCACCCTCGTCTGCCCACGGGTGTTGTAGAGTCCGAGGTGGCTTTACCCCGACATTGCTTCAGTGGCTTCAGGAGTTTCCCCGTGTAGTCCACTGGCTACCGCTCGGATACTTTGCCTTCGGACCTGCCATCCCGTGAACTCATGAAAAACGCGACTATAGTATCCCGTCAGAAACCTAGGTCTTGAAACCCTAAGCTCTGAACCCTAAACCCTAAACCCTAAACCCTACACACACACAGACCCTAAGCTAGCTCTGCACTTTCGGGAAGGGGAGGATCGAATTTCAAGACCCGTTTGGGACAGACAGCGATCCGAGCCTACCTAGAAGCCTGGTTACTTAGTTGTACTAGTCCTTCTGGCTCCTTAGTCGAACTACAGTGGAACATAGGGGTATATAATATATATATATATATGTTTACTTATTTGTTTATTTGTTTATGTCTGTTTAGATGCATGCACACACACACACACACCACAACCCTATCTAATTAATTGTTAAGGCCCCCTCAGGCCTCTATATTGGGCCGCAAGCCTGCGAAGCCCTGAAAGGACACATTGCGGATGCTGGCAGATACGTACTCACCGTTCAACGACAACGTCTTACGTCGCTTGAGTCCGTGAGTGCGCAAAGCTGCCGAAAGACTTTGACATTGAAGCTCAATCATGGGAACTAATTGTTGTGTGCTTAGGGCCGAAAATACTTCCTCAACCGAACCAGCAATCGCACAGTAGTGATACCATGCCACCAAGACCCCCAAATCAGGCCGTAAATCCTCAAGCGCGCAATTTCCCGAGGCACCGTTCGAAGTCTCTAGTGCTAAGTCTAGTTACCCTAAACATCCTAAGCCCTAAACTCTCATATATGTTCATACTAATGTATGTATGCATGTATGTATGTGTTTATGCATATAACACATCCTTGCATGTATGGTGTTCAAAGGTTTCGGATTCCGGGCTTGGGATGACAAACTGCAGAGCTTCACCGCTACGCCAAGCCAGGGTTGAGGGTCCATGTTGGTCAGGTACTTCAAAACGGGGGCTATAAAATTGTCGGCTCCTGGATCAGGTTTCGACCTACATATGACTTGCCTGTAGCCCCAAAGCCTACAGAATGGTAGACATAGGACTCCTGAATTAAAAGGCATAGCGCCATACCCTTCGAAATACTAGACTATGACTCCTGAAATTGCAGTGCATGACGGCTTAGTCCTTTAGCTCCACACGTAAAGTTTAAGAGCATCTAGAGACTCCAACATCCCTTAGTTCAGGAATTTTAAGTTTTGATGTGAATCTTAAGTATACGTTCAGGAAAATGTTACGCAATGTCACTGAAATTACAATAGCAACGTATGAATGCTATGATTTAAAGCATAGTCGGTTGTTGAGAGGCTTGGAGTCTCTGGGCAATTCGGATCTCCTGATGCGAATTCCGCCGCAGACGTCGGTTCCTCGCGAGAATCCCTTCCAAAAATGATCGAAGTAGTAACGAGCAAATATGTTCCGTGTCCCATGTTGCGGTTTCAGGCAAGGCGCAATGAACAAACAGGAGATTGATGACGGGTGGAGCTACTTTTGATGTTTACCGTTGTCTGAGCTACCTAATTCTGAACCGTGAACACTGCACAAATCCGACGACGCGAGACCTCACCCCATATCCTCACAAGCTGTGCATTGCAAGCTTCCGATCGCTAGCGCGTCAAAGAGCAGTGCTGAACCCTAAACCCACAGCGACAAAAGCCCAATTGCAGGTCTCTGCATTCAGAAGTCAGAACACGTAAATCTCACCTCCTTCTGATGTGCCTTAGACCCTAACCCCGCCTTAAACCCCTACCCTTATTTCTACCATTCTACCACTGCTGACAGCTACTCCTGAGCGGCCATGTAAGCTCCAAACCCCCCCCCCCCCGACCCCCGCAAACCCTGCAATTAAGATGCCCGAACCCGAAATCCCCCCACACGCTCACATATTTATATATATATATATATATATATATACACACACACACAAACACATCCAAACCCGCATGGATACACACACCCACTCACACACACACACACACCACACACACACACACACACACACACACACACACACACACACACACACACACACACACACACACACAACACACACACACACATGCACTGTAAAACACCGTAGAACCCTAGACAAACTGAATCCATATCCCTGAACCTTGAGCCTCCCCCCCCCCTCCCCCCGCCCCTTCAGAACCCTAATCCCTAGACCCTACATCCTAAACCCTAGTCCCTTAACCCTAATCCCTGAACCCTAAACCCTAAACCCTAATCCCTTAACCCTAAGCTTTTACTATAATCCCGAAACCCTCGACCCTAAACCCGAATCCTTTGACCCTAATTATAAACTCCTAATCCTTAAACCTTCCAACACCGAAACTGCGCCCCAAGCAGGTGTCCTGGTCTCGCTGGCCGGCGACATCGGCCGTGGCCTGATATCGGCCCTCAGCTCCCTTCAAGGGCGTTCCTTTGAGGGGCTCCTGTCAGGGTTCCTTTTAAGGGTGCCTTTGAGGTTTAGGGCTTAAGTGTAGGGTTTAGAACCCGATCAGTATAGGGTATACCCCCCCAAAAAAAACAATGGATTTTTGCATCCCCAGGCAGGTGATAAGTAGTTTGTATAAGTGGGATTACACTGTATGTAAGTGTAGGATAGCCCTACTTCGGTTGTAAGGTCACGCTCACGAGACGCCGCTAAGAAAGGTCACGCCTCAAAGCTGGAGCAGCGCGCGTGGCAATGCAGGCTGCTGCTGTTGGGTTGTGGTTGCTAGCTGCCAAACACCCCAAGAGTGCCATATGAACAAACAGTGATAACGGATAACGGAGTTTCAACAATTCAGCTAGAACCCCTACGGCAAACCCTCAACCCTGATCCCAAGACCAACCCTAACCACAACCACACGCACTTTAGTTGGGCGTTTAGCCAGGAACTCCGATACTGCAAAAATGTTCCTCGACTCGACCCTACATTCGACCCTAAAGGGAACTCCAGAAAGTTGGAATATGGATTAGTGGTAGGATCCCCTTATAATTTACCTTAAAGGGGTTACGATAATGATATTCCAACGTTCTGGCTTTATTGTAAATTGCTCATTGTTTGGATTCATATCCTTCTGTTCGAGGGTAGAAGGAGAGTCCTGGCTGTTTACATCGCAACAGATCGGTGTAAGTGAGGTTGAGTGTTTTGGGGTTGCTTTTAAAGTATTTCTTTAGCCCGTTCTTGAATAGGGTATCACAAGGGCTTAAGGTTTTCAAGATGTAGGGGCAAAAACCGTAAACCCGAATAGCATTATTTCCCAGAGGGCTTTGGGGGTTCACGAAGCAAGTGGCTTTACTGCTTTCGAAGGCAACAGTTCCCACAGATACGAATGCTAATCGTTTCCGGTTTAGGGTTCATAGGGCTCAAAGTCAACACTGCTGGTTAGGGCTTCTTAAGAAGTATAGCTGTGCTACGAGAGCGCCGCCCCGTTCAAAAGAATCTGTTCTAATGATCAAGGCCCCGTTTTATCTTGACAGTCCAGTAGACAAACTGTCATCTTTTGCGTGTTGCTGTCGTCGCATTCTCGCGTCTTTTCCTGGTAGCCCCGGATACCTTCAGACATGTTTCGATTTTGATTCTCCAGCGTTCTCATACCCTTTTTCCTCCTTTCAAGCTTTAAATGAATCAAAGAGTTCAAATACGTCATGTTATATACTCCCCCACCCCAACCCCCAAACTCGAACCCGCAACATTGTGAGCCGGTGAACCTCCAGGTTGCGTAGCCTTTGTGTCGGAGCCCTAAGCTCCCTAAACCCTTAGTAAGTTAGTAAGCTAAGCAGGAGCCGATGCAGCACCTAGACCCTAAACCCTTGACCAAAAACAACCCTTAACCCTAATAGTACCAGTAGTAGCAAGCTCCTTGAACCCTACACCCTAAACCCTAATGGTCACAGTAGTAAGTTAGTAAGCTAAGCAGGAGCCGATGCAGCACCTAGACCCTAAACCCTTGACCAAAAACAACCCTAAACCCTATAATAGTACCAGTAGTAGCAAGCTCTTTGAACCCTACACCCTAAACCCTAATGGTCACAGTAGTAGCAAGTTAGGAAGCTAAGCAGGAGCCGATGCAGCACCTAACCTCTACACCCTAAACCCTCAACCCAAAACAACCCTAAACCCCTAAGACCCCTAAACCCCTAAATCCCGAAACCCCTGAGTAGGAGCCGATGCAGCACCTAAACCCTTCACCCTAAACGCTTAGCCAAAAACAATCCTAAACCCCTATAAACCCCTAAGACCCCTAAACCCCTAAGTAGGAGCCGATGCAGCACCTATACCTTAAATATATGATTTAAGGAATAATTCCCTTAATTAAGGGGTACTGGAGTCTCTGGCTAGGAGCCGATGCAGCGCGGTCCCAGAGCCCGGGCGTGTCTTTCGCCGCCAACGCGGGCCAGGGCGAGCCTCGAAGCTCGACGCGATGGCAGTTTCCGGGGTCTTATCCCAAAGGGTCCTACGGTTCTTAAAGGGGTCCTTAAAGGTATCTATAGGCTTCCTTAAAGGGATCTATGGGGTTTAGGGTGTACTTGGAGGAGGGGCAGGGGACTTAGTAAGTAGGTTATAAGTAGGGTTATAATTGGGGTACCTCCATCTAGGGTACTTATAACTCTACTCATAACCTACTTACTAAGTCCCTTGCCCTTCCAAGTAGGTACTGTTATGGGTACATAGGACCCTTTGAGATAAGGGATTTAAGATTTATAGGGGTTACCTGGAGGGTTCCTTGGCGGGTTCTACGGCTGATGATCTAAATCCTGCATTACCCACAATAAGTAATATACCATAATTCCCATAGTCTAGGGTCACTAAGGTAATGCAGGGTTTATATCATCAACCGTAGGTATTGTCATGGGGAAGTTTTCCCCAAATCATAGCAGTAATTCCGGTCCTAATATAGAAACCCTAGATTCTACTGTATAGGTAGATAGGACCGTGTGGGATAAGGGATTTAAGATTTACAGGGTTTACTTGGGGGTTCCTTGGGGGGTTCTATGGGGGATCGATCATGGGTCTGGAAGGGTAGGTTACAAGTAGGGTTATAATTGGGATAACTCCATTTAGGGTACTTTTATCTCTACTTAAAACCTACTTATTAAGTCCCCTGCCCCTCCAAGTATATAGGGACTACATATGATGATACGTACTAGTAACAGCTATTCCGACTCGTTTGTCACACTTGCTCTGTTGTGTTTTTCCTGCCTTAGGCATCCATCTCTCTTTGTCTGTTGGGTTTTTGGGGTTTAGGGTTTGAGTGCTTTGTTGTCATGCTCATGTTCCGTGGCTCCCTTGCTGTGATTTTTTTTACATTTTCGTCACTCCCGAGATGTTCTTGGGTACCGAGGTACAGATTCATAAGCCCATGCCTTACATCCGACATCACGAAGACGAATTGCAGACACACACACACACACACACACACACACACTTTTTGGCTTTTCAGCTGCAAGTGTCCAGCGGCCACCTTAAGACTTAAGAGGTCAGCGAATGTATTTGTGCAGATTCACATCTCGGCTGCATCACCCTGCGCTTCTCAGGCAAGGTCATCCCGCGCGTGCATCGCCCGGATCCCAGTCGCCCATGAGTAATCTTGCCGAGAAAGCTGATTCAAGTCAGCAGTTCCTGAGTTGGTTTGCGCTTACTTGGACCCCAAGCCCTACCTGTACAAGCCTTGAGAGACCCAAACGCTATAATCCCTAGACCATGGGCCCTAAGCCCTGATTGCTTAGGGTTGAGGATTTAAGACCCTGTTCTCACTTAATCATTATTGCCTGTAAATGGCCGTAGGGGTCCCAATTATCATATACTCTCAACTCAAGAATAGTAACCTACATAACTGCTAGTCCAAACCCGAGTACCTAATTATGGGGCCCTTCTGTTGATGGACAAAATCCTGCATTACCCATTATAAGGAATATACCATAGTTCCCCAAGTTTATAGTCCTAAGGGTCATGCAGGATTTTGTCCATCAGCCGTTTGTTCCCTTATAGATCCCGGATAGAGCCCTTTTTAGGATCCCTGTAGACAGTTTGGACCCTTAGGGTGGAAGGGCCGTTCACAGACTGCGGGGTTCCCGAGTGCCCGATCACTGTCTTAGAGGCTTAGGATCCGAAAGCCCCGGAAGCCCTAACCACTGAGCCCGTAGGGTTTAGGGTTTAGGGGTTTAGGGTTTAGGGCTTAAATCATAATTAGAAATGGGTTTTGGGGGCCCACTATACTTACTTATAATAAGGAGGCACCAAAGTAGCATAGGTAATGATCTAGGCCCCTTTGTTAGCACTGGCTCCTGCAGGCTGAAGCTCGAAAGCAACCCCAAACCCCTTAAGCCTAAAGCCCGTAATCCTTAGCGCTTAAGCCCTAAACCCTTAACCCTAAGCCCTTAGACCCTAAAACCCTTAAAACCTAAAGCCCTAAACCCTGAGACCCTAAAGCCCTAAACTTCAAAGCCTTCAAGTTCATCTGGCGCTTGAGCCTTCCTCGCTGCCTGGCTACGGTTGATGATATAAATCCTGCATTACCCATAATAAGGAATATACCATAATTTCCACAGTTTAGGGTCCTTAAGGTAATGCAGGATTTGTATCATCAACCGCTAGGTGCATACTCCGAGAACAAGTCCCAGCCTGAGAATCATGGGCTTTGGGTTTAGGGCTGAATGGGTTTGAGGCTTAGGTTGAAGGTTTAGCGTTTAGCTTTTGAGGTTAAGGGTTTAAGCTTAAGGGTATGGGGTTAAAGTTCAGGGTTTGAGGTTCAGGGTTTTGTCCCTAAACCCTAAACCTCTAAACCCTAAGCCCTATAAAGCCTAAACCGAATTTAGGGCGTATAGGGCTTGGAGGTCTTGTAGGGTTTATAGGGTTTCTAGGGCTTACAGGGCTGGGCCTTTTGGTCGAGTGTCTCTTGCAAAGGATCCGCAACTTGCTTCAGGCTGCGGGGTTTAGCTTCTCCCAAAGGGCCCTATGTACCTATAGAGTAGAATGTAGGGTTTCTATATCAGGATTTACTATTATGATCCAGGGAAGTAGCCCCCATAGCAGTACGTAGGATCCTTTGGGTCTTGATCTGTGATGTCGGCTTAGAGACTACGGCTCAGCCTATTATAAACCCTGAACCCTAGCCCTGTGGGTTCCAAGCAGTCTACGATTAGACACCAAACCACGTGTTCCTGGAACCATACTCAGCCACGCTAGGCTATCCTCAGCCACGAACCCTGATTGAGGGATGACTCCTTCCACGCCCGTTGGAAGACCCTAAGGCGTTTGACAATGGAAACCCTGAGTTTAAATGACCTGTCTTCAAAAATTGAATGTTCCTTATTGTTATATTACAGGACCCCGTCTTATAATCCTCCTGAAGAGAGAGGGGCTTGTTAATAAGGGGCACACCGTTCGCCCACTGCCTGCACAGCACCGGCCCAACATACGGACAGCCCTTAACTGATGGATAAGGCTTTAACCCAATTTTGGTTTAGATAATCAAGGCCCTGTAAAACACAGACAAAGTCGCAACAGGCATGACGTAGAAAGGTGCTTGTTGAAATGGCCTTCAATGGCACATCTATCTGGGCCGAAAGCATCGGCATCTTCCAAAGTCGACATGGATTGGCTTCAGGAGTCCCAGGACATACCGTTTCCACAGCCTGTGTCTGGGGCCAGGTTTTAGGGTTTAGGGTTTAGGGATTAGGGTTTAGGGTTTAGGGAGCTCTACGATGAAAACACAGTGGAATGTTGTCGGCTGCGCGAATTGGTCAATGATTTGAACAACGCGTGCTGTGCCCACTTCAAGGAATGTGACCTACAACACAAGTAATTGAGTTCTTACCCATAGGCTCCATAGTAGTTCCTTTTGGGGGCTCTCTTGTACAATTCTATAAGGTAATCCCAAAAAAGCTACTACGGAGCCAATGGGTAGGGATCTCAAGGAGGAGCAACTTGCAGTCTTCGTGTTAGCATTGAGTTTATGGACCTATGTTCCAAATCCGGAGCTTCGCGGGTTGCCTGGAAATCCCTACTTGGAGGGGCTGGGGACTTAGTAAGCAGGTTATAAGTAGGGTAATATTGGGGTAACTCCATTTAGGGTACTTATAACTCTATTTATAACCTACTTACTAAGTCCCCTGCCCCTCCAAGTAATCATCGCACAACCTAAACCCGAAATCTTCACCTGCACAGACTAGATCCTACTATACATCAATAATCAAAATCCTCAGCCCCAGCAGGTGAGCACAAGCACACCAAACAACAGCCCTTGCAGCTCTAAATCTTCGCGGGAAGCCCGGGGACCCGTCAAAATATTCAAGGTCCTACACGCGGATCTCACACCTGTTTTCAAGTTTAATCCCCAAAACCTGAAACCCTAAACTCAAAGCCCCCACACGCTGCTTGTGCAGGCTGCAAGCCAGGAAAGTCCTTGAGATCGCGATCGAGGCCAACGGCGCATTGGGCTTTCGAGCAGTTAGAAAGTTGGATATCTTACCCTTCTGGTAAGGCGGGTCCATGTGCCCGAACATTATATACTTTGGCCTTGAAGTAGTCACAATGTAGGTAGTTAAGTGCCAGAGGGCGTTGGGACTTAGTGCCAGGATTCAGGTGCTCGCTTTGGACAATGTATTACAGGCTTATTACAGGGACTTTGAGCAGCAGGACGTTATCTCCAAGTGTCTTTAAGTTTACCATGTAAACCCTGAACCTGAACTCCTACACCCCAGGCCCCGAACTCTAAATGTGACATACTTATTCAGACTATTCAGAGGCCATGTAATTTTCAACCCTGAACCTTAAGCCCTACACCCCCGTTGTAAATCTGACATAATTATTCAGACATATTCAGAAGCTCAGAAGCTGGGAGGGGTCTGTCTGAATTTGTTTCTGTCTCCCTTTGTTTCCTTCTCCCTGCTCTATCCGACTCTATCTCTTTGTTTGTCTATGTCTATCCGTCTGCCTGGTCTGGTCTGGTCTGGTCTGTCCCCTTCATCCGTCTCAGTTTCACTCTCAGCCTCTCTCTCCTTCTCTCTCGCTTTCTACACACATCACTTTCAAATCCCAAACCCAAATCTTATGAAACGTAATAACCCAAAGGTCGACCCGGAACTCAACAAACCCTCGACACTGAATTCTATAAACCAAGCACCAAAGTCTAGAACCTAAACCCCGACAGTCACTGTAACAACACCTGAGTAACGCGTATATCCAAAAGGATTCTTCATTAAGCTTGTATGAGACTCTGGTATCCCTAATCTTTGTCAAAGTTGGGTAGCATTTTGAATTTTGTGGGGTACTTAATGAGGAATAAAAATGTACATGTTTAATCCTATCCCAACCATGAACTAGGAATGTCGAGGGGGGTGATGACGGTAGGTGTTATGGTAGGTCCGCTTCAGTCCTAAGAATCGGCACAAACCTTCATAGCCACCCACAGCCTCCAAAACCACCCGTTTATCAAGGAATACCCCTTTATAGTAGACTTCCGATTATGAGTTCAGGGAGAGAGAGAGAGAGAGAGAGAGAGAGAGAGAGAGAGACAGAGACAGAGACAGAGACAGAGACAGAGACAGAGACAGAGACAGAGACAGAGACAGACACAGACACAGACACAGACACAGACACAGACACAGACACAGACACAGACACAGACACAGACACAGACACAGACACAGACACAGAGAGAGACAGACAGAGATAGATAGAGCGATGGGGAGAGTCTCAGAGAGATAGAGAGGGAGAGAGAGAGAGACAGGTTTCCTCAAATGGAGGGTTTTGGAGTCTCTGGGTAGGTAGAAAACCCTAAACCCTAAAACCCCAAAACCCTAAACCCTAAAGCCCTAAACCCTAAACCCCTTATGCACCCTAAACCCCTAAACCCTAAACCCCCCAAACCCTAAACCCTAAACCCCCCAAAAGAAACAGAGCCTTTCAAAGAGGACGCGGAGAGCCCCGAGCCGGAAGAGCCCCCGGAGCCCGCGCCGGAGGCCAGGGTTTAGGGATCCAAAAGGGGTCCTTTAAAGGGATCTATAGGGTTTTAGGAATTAGGGTTTAGGGCTCCAAAAGGGGTTTAGGGTTTAGGGTTTAGGGGGGATCTGTAGGGTTTTAGGAATTAGGGTTTAGGGCTTTAGGGTTTAGGGCTCCTTTAAAGGGATCTAGAAGGGTCCTTTAAAGGGATCTGTAGGGTTTAGGGATCTATAAGGGGTCTATAAGGGTCCTTTAAAGGGAGGGTTTAGGGTTTAGGGATCCTTTAAAGGGATCTATAACGGTCCTTTAGAGGGATCTGTAGGGTTCAGGGTTCTATAAGGGGTCTATAAGGGTCCTTTAAAGGGATCTGTAGGGTTTAGGGTTTAGGGCCTTATAGGGTTTACTTAAAGGGTCATGGGACTTCGTAACTCGGGTTATTATTAAGGTAACTATGTATACTTATAATTACGTATAACCCCAATTGAAGTACTTATAGGGTTTAGGGCTTCAGGGTTCAAGGGTATAGCGGTTTAGGGCTTCAGGGGTTTAGGGTTTAGGGCTTTAGGCTTCTAGGGTTAGAGCCTAAACCCTGAACCCTTAAGGCTTTAGGTTTTAGGGAGTTGGGCTTCAGAGTTTGGGGGGCTTCGGGTTCGGGGAGCCTGTGCCGGAGGCCGCCTTCGTTTGTCTCTCGTTGCAAGTTTACGTACATAATTTGAAATGCTGCGCGTCGTCCGCCTCGGCCCGGCTGTACGCGCACGCGGCGAGTGGCTACTATCTGCAGCAAGCTCTTGTAGGAAAAAAGTAACAGTTGGAATCGCACTTATAGTAAAAGTAATGTTCATAGCAACACGAAGCAGGATGATTGTGAGTAGTATTAGTAGTGGTAGTATCAGTACGAATTTTGCTGTCGTCATTCCGAAACACTGGATACCAAGACTCTCGCAAGCGGCGGGATGCCTTAAGTATGGGCCGTTGAGGCTGTGGATTTCGTGGGCGTCTTGGATTAGGGAAGCATCACAGCCTTTTCAACCACGTTACTCCGCCTATCCCAACAAAAGGGCGTCTAAAACAAGCCTGAGACGCACATAAAGATGCTACATTGCAGTCCCGTGTCGTCGAAAACTCCAGAAAGCTCGCACCTGTCAGCGAGCGGCGGAGGGGCGAGTGGGGGGAGGGGGGGGAGGGGGGGGGGAAGGGGGGCCAGGATTTTGGGGGTGGGGTCACTGGGGAGGGGATGAAGAGGTGGGGAATAGGAGAATCCGAATAGGAACCTCTGACCGCTTCGGCCGGGGCCGAGGCGAATATACATGGAGAGGGGGGATTCAAACGACTCATAGTTTGCTTTCGGGGTCTTTTGCTTTTTCAGCTTCCTTCAAAGATTACAGTAGGTCTGATAGGTTTTGGTTAGGACGGGTTCAGGGCTGAGGGTTTGAGGAATAGAAAGTTTCGGAATTGGGGGCCTTGATAGGGTTTGCGGCGCGAACTGTTCTTTTTCTCATGTATGTCGTTTGTGCAGGATCCATTAGCAGGGGCGTGGAAGTTCTAAAGAAATCAGGGACCCCACCAACTGATTTGGCACACATCCGTAGGTTGTCGCGCAGGCCGGTGGTGCTTGGGCCATTTGAGAGATGCGGCGATAAACCCTGTAGCTACGGTTTTAACGCACATGCAGTAATTCATGCGAGCATGAAAGTTACAAGAAGCTGGACGGTGGCTTTCCTGTCATCCCATGGACGATGGCAGGGGATGAGATGGAAGAATACACCTGAGGCCCAGATGGCTCGGAGATTCTGGCCTTTACGGTGGGCGAGCACGATTTGACACGCACCCGGATCAGTGATGCGACCATGGGCACGAAACAGAGGTCATGCATCAATGAAGGAACTTCCCTCATCGTAAGGACCCCGAACTAGGGTCCGACACCAGATGCCACTGCTGGCCCATTGCCACCTGTACGACCTTGCTTGTTTAGTGGGCCCTCATCATTAAACAAACGTTGAACCTGACTATAATGCCCACCAGAACATAAACAACATACGTGGAACCTTCATGCTCGAAAAGGGTGGGAGACCGGCAATGCCACCAACCCGACATGACAGCGGATACGATGTACCAGGCATAGTAGCAGAATTGACCAGTGTATCTGCTTTCGTGAAGTTGCTTAGGACCCTTTAGGAATATGTCTTGCGATAATATACGATGACAGTGCAAAGAAGCGCGAGCACCATATCAGGGATGCTTAAAACCATCACAGGAGCAACTATAGGAACAGCAGGAACGGTAACAAATGCGACAGCGGCATGGCCAAGCGGGAGCACTATTGGCGAAGCCTTGAGTTCTATTCGTTCCTTACACAAAGGTTTGGCAACAGTAACCACCAAAGCCATCATCACGTTCTTAGAGCGCCCCAAGCCCTAAACCTGAGCAGCCTAATGCCGCCATGGCCTCTTGGGATCCATTGCCTCGTAGGCTTTCATAGAAGCTCTTAGAAACTTTGAGCACCCTAAACCCTAAACCACCCACAGTTAGATCCCCGAATCCCATGGCTAGCGCCTTACGAGGAGCTCTGTGTTTTTTAAGCAAGGCAAGACGACAGACCCCAAACGAAGCCACAGCTCAATCCGAAACACTGAATACTAAGCCCCGAGCACCCCTCAGCAAAACAGTACAGTGTAGAATCCTTATGAACCCTCCAAAAGAGCTCCTTCAAACAAAGCCTTGAAAGAAAACGCTTAGGCAACCCACAGCACCAGAACCCATCATATTTTACAAGCCTGTGTATAACCGTATAAAACGCCACCACAACCACATACGAACAGTACGGAGCGCCCTAAACCCTAAACCCCAAGTCCTGTCACAGCAGCTAAGTACGGGAACTTTCACATTTTGGGGTATTCTAATCCCTACAGGCCCTACACTCACCACAAGTTAACCTTTGGCTGCCCTGGCCCACGCCACGAGTAAGCTATGGAACGCCCTGAGCCCCATAACCGAAGCCCCGAAATTCAAGCCCTAAACCTCAACCCACCAAACCCAATCACCGCCACAAGCTCCACTGTAGCCTAGGGATCAAAGGACTCATACATTAAGGCTTTTGGGCCCAAAGACCATACTATACAAGGTTTTTGGGCTATTTTGATCCCTAGGGGTAGACCCTGAACCCTCACATTTCAGGCAGTGGAGAAAGTCGCCCCGCCATCCCCGTCCTTTCGCAACCGGAAGCTGCAGAGCCCCAGCCACGTGAGGCACGAGATCTGGTTAACGCGTCGGGGCTTAGGATTTGGGGTTTAAAGTTTAAATTTTAGGATTTGGGGTTCAAAGTTTAGAGTTTATTGTAGGATTTGGGGTTTAGGGTTTTTGGGTTTAAGGTGGTTAGGGTACTAAGGGGGATTTGTTGTGGGGTTTAGAGGCTTGGGCTTCTCAGCGTGTTGGATTTGAGTGCTTCGAGTCGTATGTGGGGGGGGGGGGGGGGGCTTCTGGGTTTTTGATAAGGGACTTAAAAAAAAGTTACCATACCAGGGAAACAATAACATTAATCTATAGATCCCTATCCCTGGGGATCAAAATACAGTAGCACAAAAGCCTAGTATAGTATGATCTTTGGGCCCAAAAGCCTTATTATATGAGTCCTTAGATCCCTAAGCCCTATAGATCCCTTCAAAGGAGCCCTTATAGATCCCTTTAAAGGAGCCCTAGGGTTCAGGGAGTCATTAGATCCCTAGGGTATTATGGTAACTTAAATTTCCTTAACCAGAGCCCCCCAGGCTTGGCAGGTTCTGCCGGGTTTGGGGTTTAGGGTTTAGGGTTTAGGTTTTCGGGTTTAGGGGTTTAGGGTTTAGGTTTAGGGTTTAGGGTTTAGGTTTTCGGGTTTAGGGTTTAGGGTTTAGGGTTTAGGGTTTAGAGTTTAGGGTTTAGGGTTTAGGGTCCCTGTGTGAGCGAGCCAGCTCCGCGTTCGTAGTGTAGGGATTGCAGGGGCCTTAATAATTTCCAATAGGGTTCCTGGGGTTCCTTTAAAGGGGTCTATAACGGCTACTAGAAGGGATCTACAAGGGTACTATACCAAGATAGGGGCCTAAATATTTTAATTACCTATACCATTTTGGAGGTTCCTTATTAAAGCTTTATAGTATAATGGGCCCCAAGACCCTATTCTAATTATTAAGGCCCCTATAATACCTGAAGTGGCCTCCGGACGAAACCAGACTGGTCCCGGACACCAGCCACAATCGCATCGTGCTGAGTGAGCGCGGAGTGGTGCGTCTGTCGGAGAAGAGAGCACTCCTCACCAAGTTCGTGCCCACCCTTTTGGCGGCGGAGCTGCGCAGGCAAATCGTACCAATCCCGCGGATCAGCTACATGCGAACCTGACGGCGAGGTCGAGTACCTGCAAGAGGAGCTGGACGGGCGAGAGGCGAGACAGGAATGCGTGCTGCCAGGTGATCGGAGCCCGCTCAGCGCTGGCGGAGCAGCTCCTGAAAATGCTCCCAGCGACCCTGGCCGAGCCTCGACCTTACTTGGAGGGGCAGGGGACTTTATAAGTAGGCAGGGCTTTTAATTGGGGTAACTCCATTTAGGGTACTTATAACTCTACTTAATTATAACCTACTTACTAAGTCCCCTGCCCCTCCAAGTACACTGTCCAAAGCCCGACTCCAACTCCAGGGGCTTAGGGTTTGGGGTTAAGGGTTTAGGCTGTATTGCCTGAGGGCCCATGTACTCAGGCCTCAATGCAGTCCCTATACAATATGGGTACTTTAGAGTCAAGGTATGCATAGAATGCAATGTGGTAGTAGAGAATAAGAAGTGTTGTATAACATAATGCCGTTTAACATAGTATGCAGTATGTAGTATGGTATCATACGACTTAACACTGAACACGTGGAGCCTGAGAGATTCAGGGTTGTTCATTGAGGTCAGGTATCTGAACCGCAGAGGCAAAGCTCCCTGAGCTTCAAGGATGGAGCGGACATCATGATTTCCGGTTTAGTTTGTAAACCTACCTACTATTAAAGTAGGTAACCTTTAACCTTTTTGGGTAGGATAGTCCCTACATAATCCCTATATAATCAAAACGGTTAACCTTTGATTCCGCATGATACCCGGCAAGTAGGACGAATAGTCTAGGTGTATAGGATGTGTGTCACCGTGTTTTGTAGAGCCTCTCCGCACACTCAGACAACGCCTCAGGTCTCACGAAGGCACCCTTGTACCATGCGGCCGTAGAAAGCCGAAACTATGCAGCTAGATGAGTATCCGGAGGCCTCAAAGTAGTTCCTTTTTGGGATTACCTTATAGGATTCTATATATGAACCCCCAAAAGGAACTACTTTGGGGCCTTTGTGTATCTAGAAGGGCCCATGGAGCAATCCGAAGCAGCTGGAGCCAGCAGGACAATCAACACCTCTTCCTAACCTCGAACGGGCCCTCACAAGCCATTCAACAGAACGGTGCAAATAAAAAGTTAAGGGGCACTGCACACCGAAAGCCCTGAGACCTATGCCTTCAACTTCAGCCCTAAAGCCCTAAACCGAAGCCCGAACCCGGTGAGCTTCGAAGCAGCATAATTACCAAACCCTAAACTGACCGTCAACAACAGAAACCCGCCGTAAACTCCCGTAGCCCTAAACCTGAACCCTCCAAAAGACATCAAAGACAAGAGGACGACGCACACGCACGTACCGCCAAAACCAAAGCACAAAGCAACACATTGCCAACCAAGCAAGGCTACCCCAGAATAAGTATTGTGGGAAGACAGTCCCTAAGGGTGGTGCCCACGCAGTGTTTAATTCGACTTACAAGTTTTGGGGCCAAGGCTATACGTACAGGCCTCAGGAAAGGGCCCTTTCGAAAAATCAGGAAATTCAGAGGCTTCGGGTTCAGGGATTTAGGGGTTTAGGGCTTCGGGTTTAGGTGTTTAGGGATCGGGTTTAGGGGCTTCGGGTTTAGGGACTTAGGGTTTAGGGGTTTAGGGCTTAGGGGTTTAGGGATTTAGGGGTTCGGAAGTTTAGGGCTTTAGGAGCCAGGTCACCCAGCCATCGTTCTGACGATGGTCGGCCCAAGACCCCAAAGACGCCTCAGGCCCGGCGACTTACCTTTAGTTAGTAGGGAATGGAAGAATGGTAGCAATAGTAGTTATACTTATACCCCATTCCTCCATTCTCTACTAACCAAAGGTAAGGCGAAGCCCCTGAGTTCCCCAGACCTTCCAAAATCCCTTAATTCAGGAATATACCTTAAATTATAACAGGGTCCCTAATATGATTTAAGGTATATTCCTTAATTAAGGGATTTTGGAAGGTCTGAGTTATTTAACAAGCAGAAAGACGGTGCTTGTACTGCAATGGCCTAAATTTTTAGTAGTTACCTATACTACGGTTGATGATATAAACCCTGCATTACCCTAAGGATCTTAAACTATGGAAAGTATGGTATATTCCTGAATATGGGTAATGCAGGATTTATATCATCAACAGTTGTACTGCAGGGGCCTTAATAGTTACCTATACTATTTCGGGGCGTCCTTATTATGACTTTGGTATGAATATATCCCCGAAACCCTATTCTACTCATTAAGGCCCTTGTATTATAGGGTTTTAAAAGTTTAGGGGTGGGTATATGTTTTAGGGTTAGGGTTAAGAAAGCTTCGACCACCGAGGTTTCTAGGAAGGGTTGTGAAAAGATGAAGTCCCCGAAGGGCTTGCGCTCTTTGAGTCCCTCAAGGTGTCTTCATCTTTATCGTTATGGTGTGGTAATATAGGGGCCTATACTGGGCTTTGGAGTACCATACTTTAATACTTTTTTCTTAAAGGGAACCATTATGAAATAAAAGTTTATACTTTTTTCTCCCTGGTTACTTAAAAGCCCAGTTATGGTGTGGTAATATAGGGGCCTATATGACTACCAATACTATTTTCGGGGGCTCCTTATCGCAAGTATAGCAGAATGGGCCCCAAAACCTATTCGAATTATCAAGGCCCCTATATTTGTGCGGTATGTATAGTCTTGTGCCTTGTGTTTTCATGGTCTCAGAGCACAGAAAGGTGTAGGGCCATACGAATGTTATAAGGGTTAGGCCAGCCACGGTTTGGGTTTCGGGACCTTCGTTTTTTATTAGGTACGATAGAGGGGTGCTATGTGCAATGAAGGTTTGGGGTTTTCTCCATGGGTTTCACAAGCTTTCTTTTTTTTGATGATGTCAAGAGGGGAGGGACGGTAGTATAACACTTAGCGCTTGGATCAGTATCATAATTGCCCAGAATCATTAACGCACCCTCCCCCCTCCCCCCAAAAAAGAAACAACAGAAAGCTAGGTCCCCTTAGGATTCTTGATCGGGCTTAAAAAGGGACTATGATATACTTGGTTGGTTCACAGGGTTGAATATTCCTCATGGTAACACCCTTGCTGTCGGTTATAATACATGATGGAGTGTGTTGTTAAAGTGTCATTTACTAACATGTTGCCGGGCTTGGAGCTGCCGGTAGCTTTCGTTTGCAAGCATCAGAAACCCTCAACCCTAAACCGCAGGGTTTTTCGGAAGCGTAGAGCTTGTTTAGATATCAGCGCTTAGGCCAAGAATTCCGCCGTAGCTCTCCAGGAGTCGTCCCGACGCCCACATCTGGATGCCTCTACGAAGCATACCGGTAAACCACCATGTGTGTGTATATATATATATATATATACGTAAATATGCATGCATGCTCACGCGCACATATACACACACGCACAAATCCTTGAAGCTGGAACCCTAAACCCTAAACAATGCAGAGCCCTAGTCGCATTGACCACCAAATGGGATTCTTGCAGGAGTCCTCAGGCAAGCTCCTGGAGTCACTCCGGGATCACCATCGCGAGGCTCCTTAGCCTTGGGTTGCTACGCAAACTTTTTAAGAGGCTTCATGTGGTTTCAGAGGAACTTTTAGGACGTTGGCTTGCGTTTTGTTTTGAGATTTAAGTGTTTGCGCGATCACCTTTTTCCGCGGTTAGGCAATCCGCAAACCCCGAACGGGTGCAGCATGTTCGGATGTCAGGGTTTATGGTCTTTGGGGCTCAGGCTACTTGGGGTCCGACGGCTCTTGTCGGAAGATTTGTGGAATCCAGTGGTCCAGAGCTGACATAGCTGACGGAAGCGCTTATGTTACTTATGTTTGCAAAATCGAACCCCAAAATGAGCCCTCTTACAGGAACCCTTACGAAAACCCTTCAGCCGTGGCCCGAAGGCTTAGAGATTTATGTATTGGACCCTAAGTCTCAGACCCTACAATGTCGGGTTTAGGTGAGGCGCCTGTGAGGCATCCCACCTGTGGCACCGAATCCTACTAACTACACCCTACACCCTAAACCACTAAACCGCACTCCCTTAGCCGTCTAAATCCTAGAGCCCAGCCTCCGAAAGCTCTCTGACACCGGAGAATCTTTCAGTCTGGTGTCGGTCCCATTATACACACCGCTACACCGTAACAACAAAATGGGTAGTTCCCTAGTTCCCTTCTAGTGTCATCCTGATAAGGGTGGCGTACTATTTGGGGGGCCCAGAACTTGAGAATCCCACAACATAGTGTATGCCACTGATTAACTACAGGGTAGAATTCGGAGCCCCAAACTCTGCCAGCACCCCCCAGGCACCCTTAATGGAGCGCCTGTGATCCTCAGTATGGCGTGTTTGACGGTTCAGGGGTTTCGGGTTTTAGGGTTTACAGACAGAATAGAAGGTAGTGGGCGGTCTACTAACCATTGATATTGGAGGAGCTAAGGAGCCGGGGATGATGATAATCCCTTCTAAATAAGGAGCTAAAGAGCCAAGGGAACCACTGGTTAGTCTAGGTACACCCTGAACCCTGGCGATCCCTAGCCCTGAGCCCTTTACCCTCAACCCTAGGGCTCCCAGTATACAAGTAGTACCTACTTTGGGGCCTAAAGTCTATAAATACAGCGTACTTTGGGGCCTAGAGTTTATAAATACAACTTACTTTAAAAATTTAATACTACCTAGTTTGGGCTTTTTGGAGCCTCTAACCCTTAACTCTTCGCAGGGTGGATCCCTGGTACCACCGTCGGAGCGTCATGCGAGCTCACGCCATTCTGGCCTGAGTCTTCGGGGAGTTCTGCGCCAACCCCATTGGCTCCATAGTAGTTCCTTTTTGAGATACCGTATAGGATTCTAAGTATGAACCCCCAAAAAGGAACTACTATGGAGCCTATGGGTAAGGATCGCTAACATATTTTGAGACTTCTGGGTGGGGGCTGTTGATGTAGGTTCAAGGACTGGGGTTCAGAAGTGGTTCATGGTTGGATGAGATTTGGAGCTTGGGTTTTACGCTGTCGGAGGCAGAGCCACGAGATTGCGGTTTAGGGGTTTAGGGTACCCAAGGGTAAAAAGAGGGACCCTTAATAAGGACCCTAGGTATATACACTTATAATATAGCCATTATATACCCATTATATCGCCGAGTATAGGGTAGGGTTCCCCATTAAGGGTCCCTCCTTTTCCCCTTTGAGGGTAGGACTTGGAGACGGGATCTCCGGGTTGGGTTTGGGGAATTCGTTACACCCAGCCCCATTCCTTCATTCACTAATCCAGAGACCCCTTAAACGCCTGGGGTTTGGGGTTTGGGGTTAGGGTTTAGGGTTTAGGGTTTAGGGTTTAGGGTTTAGGGTTTAGGGTTTTGGGTTTTGGGTTTTGGGTTTTGGGTTTAGGGTTTAGGGTTTTGGGTTTAGGGTCTCGGGTTGCATTTACCCTTTAAACCCCAAGCCTCATCCTGAAACGGCAGTGGCTAGACCCCAAACCCTAATCCCTACTAATCCCGAAACCCTGAGATCCTTAATGCCTAAACCGAAACCATACGCGGTGTTTGAGTGACTCTGAAGCCTTAAGGTAGAGCCGTCAGACCGCTTGCTATTAGGCCTGCGGCGTTCTTTCAGAAGCCTCAGCCTCACCCTGAAGATTTAAGCCCTGTAAACCCGAAAACCCTAAACCCCAAACTTACCTTAAGGACCCTAATCTAATGGACTTATGGCATTTTCCTTATTATGGCTAATGCAGGATTTCTATGAGCAACAGTCTGGTAAGTTACTGGGAGTTGGTCCACTGGCCCCTTCATGGGCATGCTCAGATCACATGTATATGATTTTGTGGTCTCCTGTTGCGGCTGTGGGCTTGCGGGAAAAACGGCCCAGCTCAGAAGCTATGCATAGAACCCTCAGCCTCAACCTTAAACCTAAAGCCCTTAACTTACCGAAAGCCCGACAACACTAAATCCTAGACCAAGTCGGCTCTTGCTTCACACCCCACCCCGACCTCAAGCACCGCACCGTGTCTTGTACTTCTAACAACCGCGAGACTAAATTTTATCCAAACTATAAGACTTTATCCACGCCGTCTAAACACATGTGAAACGACAGAAAGTCCCGCGAAGACCCATCAGGACCTAAGCCCTAAATCCGAAAGCCCTTGGAGTCACCCACTGCCATGGTCCCATGGCTCTTGGCGGCTCTTCTCCCTTTGGTCCTGAGCCAACAAGCCCTTACCCAGGCAGTCCGCAGAGCTTTGGGTTTCTGGGTTTGAGGGTTTAGGGTTTAGGGGTTTAGGGCTTAGGGTCTAGGGGTTTAGGGTTTAGGGTGCAACGGAATTTTAGTGGGAGATGCTTATAGCGAGGCTTCTGTGATCTAGGCTTCATGAGTAAGATTCCCTGTTGTCGAAACGTCGGTGACGAATAGACATGTGAGCGTTTCCTCTTGTCTGGTAGCTTAAACTACCCATAGGCTCCATAGTAGTTCCTTTTTGGGGTTCATATTTAGAAGCCTATAAGGCAATCTCAAAAAGGAACTACTATTTAGCCTATGGGTAGATTCCTAAACTAAGAACCTGAGTAGGCCCTTATGCCCTTTTTTCGGGTTTAGGTTCCCTTATAACCCCCTTTAAACCAAAAGGGCACCCTTTTTATTCCTAGGTTACTCGTAGGTCCAGTAAAAAAACCCAGCTTGTCATGGTGTCGGGGCTCAGTGTTCGGGGTTGAAGCAAGTCCTTAGTTTAGGCCTTGTAACCCTACAGTATGAAGCCAGAAAGTTGGAACATGGTTTAGGAGGATGAGTGCTAGGATCCCTTGTCCTTCACCTTAAGGACATGAGGATAATGATGTTCCAACTTCTGGCTTCTACCATATACCTTGCAAGCTTGACACCCTACCCCAAAGGGTCCTATGTACTCTTATGGGGGATACTTCCCTGGATCCTAATTGTAATTCCGAATATAGAAACCCTACATTCTACTTACATAATGGGTACATAGGACCCTTCGGCTTTGAGGATCTGAGCTCTGTGCCCCCACCCTTGAAGTGACTAAATGGGTGGGTGCCCGGTGGGTAATCTCGCGCCTCTTGGGAGGTATTCCCGATTTTGAAGCTATCGTCAACTTTTGAAACGTTTTAGGGGCCATGGCTTCTGGTAAGACATGCTCATCCCGAAACCAGAACCACGAAACGAGCGGTCCTGGAAACAGGTATTATTACATGTTGCCGCAGAACTTAAACGCTTACCGGACAGATATGATATGTTGAGGAGCCTCATGTGCATAGCTTCAGGTACAGTAGAGCTTTGGTCACCCAACGATTTCAAAGTTACTATGAAAGGATACAGAATTAGATCGGAATAGATAGTGCTGAAAAGTGGTGCCTTCTGTTTCAGGTGACTTCAACTATATAAACTGCCTCACAAGAACCCACCTGAGTCCACGCGCTTGGCGCACTCAGGCGCCGCAGTGCGAGGGCATCTTCTTTGCTCCTCGCCAGAGACACCAGCTTTCTTGAAATGGTTGGCAGAGTTGTGCAGGTGACTGTGTGGCTAATATGTTCTCACCAGGGAGTTTCAATTAGACCCCAAACCCTAAACCCTTTCGGACTGCATGTGATGAGCCAAGAGGACTGACTCCGCAGAGGCCACAGTGGACGTCGCCCTTCAAGCTCAGACGTCTATACCCTAAACCCCTGCCTTGAATCAACTACCAAAGCCTACTTTTTTGAAGGGTCCCCATCCAAGTGTCCAGCTTTGCAAATCAGGAGGTTCGTAGCATTCTCTTGCAAGCTACGGTGGTCTGTGGCATTGCCGAGCCACCTCATCATGAGTACGTTCCTAGATTCTTTATTCGTGTTTACAGTAAGCACCTACAGAAGGGTAGGTGATGGACCCAGAGAGTGTCGGGAGCTTGTCGCCCTTGCTTCCGCCCATAGCAAGAACTCAGAGACTGAGAGCTCAGAATACAGAGGACAGCAGAATTTGTACCATTATTCCCTCAAAGTCGTTATATGTTTCTATCTCAGTTCATTGATAAGTTTAGTTTCAGCAGCCCCTGAAACACTGCTCTAGTGTGTTATAAGGCCCCTATGTTAGACCCTGGCCTCACCCTTCACCCCCTGATAATGCCAAAGATAATCCATACCCTAAACCCTAAACCCTAAGATAATCCATTCAATTCCCTTGTCCTTGAAGCCGAGGCACAGTTTGGTTCGGCAATATGTGCGAGTTTCCGAAAGTTTAAGGTACCAAAACAGGGGTCCTTGTAATAAGGATCCTACTATTTAGGGTACTATATTGGGGTTCATTTATGTCGGATACTCCCATGTTTGTCAGAAGTTACCCCAAACGTCCCAGTACCTAATAATCATATGCTCTCCGAAATCCTAACCTACATAACTACTATCCTAAAACGGAGTACCTAATTATTGGGTGCTTTGGACCCTTGGGGTATGTATGTCAGAAGCTAGTTCAGCATTGTCTTGTGTTGATTTTAAGGCCTGGCTTTTCAGCCCAAGCTCTTCGCTACGAAGCCCGGAATGTCCTGCGTTTCCCTTACAACCCGCATCAACCCCTAAACCCTAAACCCACCCATCTCGCAGAGGCAACTTTCAACATCCAAAATTACGGCAACAGCAGCCCGGACTAGGATTCTCATCCGAGATGTGAGCAGAGGTCATGTGATACACCGCCCTTAATCATCAAAATACAGTCTGTGGGGGCCTTCTGTAGTACAATTCAGGAAGTATCTGCCTGCCCAGGCGTCTGTACTACAGCACCATCGTAGAACTGCGGCTTCGGGTTTGGGGTTCAGGGTTCTGGGGTCTTAGATTGTCATGTGTTTCAAACAGACCTATGTATCGTGGTCTAGCTAAGCTCTGAAAGGATTATAGGTCTGATCGGGGTTTCTACATAGCTGTCTGATTCCAGGCTGGGATTTCGTGAAATTAGGTGTTCGTGCTGGGGAACGTGGGTATAACATTCAACAGCATCGGGGTTGAGGTTGATCTTCGTACAGCTGAACCAGAAAGTTCGACGCTATCGCACACTGTCTTGGACTCCTGTGACTGATCTAGATGTCTATGCGGGGAAGTTTAGGGTTCAAGGCGTAATGTTTGAGTAACTCTTGATATTGTCCTGAGTCCCGAGGGACGGAAGCCAAACAGTTTATGTAAAGCCTAAACCCTGGCCCCAAACCCCAAACCCCAAACCCTAAACCCTAAACCCCAAACCCTAAACCCAAAACCCCAAACCCCAAACCCCAAACCCTAAGACCTAAAGCCTAAACCCTGGCCCTGGACCCTACTCCGAAGTCGAGACCGCGGCGCTTCAAGCCATGAAGCAGCCTTGGAATGAACAACCATCCCTCAGGTCGTCCTTGTAGCTGAAAGCCTACCCTTAGGCTCCATAGTAGTTCCTTTTTGGGATTACCTTATAGGATTCTAAATATCAACCCCAAAAAGCAACTACTATGGAGTCTACGGGTACACACAAAAGCTAAAACCTACACCCAAAATCCCACACAACCTTAACTCCAAACCCCCTAAGCAACGACCTCTTCCTCACTCAGGCAAAGCATCAAAGTCGGAGGTCATCGCTTCGCTGGCAGAAATCATTGCGCGCCACCCGGCCGCGCAATTACAGCCTTGGGGTTTAGGGTTTTAGGGTTTCGGATTAAAGTTTAGGGTTCTAGGATTTAGGGTCGGGTTAAAGTTTACGGTTTTAGGGTTTAGGGTTAAAGTTTAGGGTTTGGGGACCTCCTCGCTTAAGATATCGAGGGGTCAGGGTTTCCGGGGCTTGGAGTGGAGATTAGAGCTCAAAATGACGCTGTGCCTGGCGAATGGGTCTGAAGAGCTCACGAAAGCCCTGACACTAGCAGTGCGACTTAAATATAGGACCATGCTTCCAACATGGCACTATGTACGTATGTTTTTTGGCAGTATACCTCGAAGCCCTCCTTCTTATCATCCTAAACTACTATCTATGTATATATATATATATATATCTATATATATATATATATATATACTTAGTGTCTCATCTGTTGCTGACGTATGTCGGGACTTCGTTTTGCGTATGTGAAGAGCGGCTCGTAGGACGTCAAGCCCCAATGCCACAGCCATCAAACCTTCAGCCGTAGACTACAGTAGGACCCTGTGAACTACCTTATGGCTCCATAGTGCTTCCAAGTTCCTTTTTGGCCTTCATATTTCAAATCCAATAAGGTAATCCCCAACAAGGAACTACTATGGAGCCTCTGGGCACTCCTATAGTAGGACCCTGTGAACTGGCGTTTTGTGTTCTGCCGATCCCAACTCCACACTACTGCGCGAGGATATGACCTTGTCACCATCCAGGAGTGCAGTTTCTTGTTCCGGGGCCACTTAGAGGATCATGGGACTTAGTAAGTATGATTTTCAGTACCTCAATTGGGGTTATAAGAACTTACAAGTTTAGCTACCACAACAAGAACCCTGGTTACTGTGTCCTATGATCCTTTAAGCAAGGTTGAGTGTTCGCCGCCTTTAGAGCCTTTAGGGTTCGAAGTTTAGCGTCCGCTACGTACTGTCGTGGCCTACCCCCTCAGGCTCCATGTACCCGTATAGTACCCAGACCAAAATCCCTTAATTAAGGAATATACCTTAAATCCTATTAAGGATCCTGCTATAATTTAAGGGATATTCCTTATTTAAGGGATTTTGGAAGGTCTGGGTATCTACTTAGGCCTTAAAGTATCTATATAGATACCCCTTTAAGGCTTAAGTATCCACTATTATGGTACATGGAGCCTTTGGGACCTAGACCCGCTTTTGTGTACCTGAGATTCTTATCCCAGGGTCCTAACCGTAACCATAAAGTAGGTTATCCAAGCAAGCACTACATTCCAGGGTCTGGGGTCTGGGTAGGGTTCGGGCCTGCAGCCCTAAACCTTCAACCCGAAACCCTAAACCCCTAAGCCTAAACCCCTAAACCCCAAAGCCCTAAATCCTAAACCAAAATCCCCTAAACCCCCAAACCCTAAAGCCCTAAACCCCCAAACCCTAAACCCCTAAACCCCTAAACCCCTAAACCCTAAAGCCTTGAACCCTAAACCCCCAAAACCCCTAAACCCCCAAAGCCCTAAACCCTAAACCCCTAAATCCCTAAACCCTAAAGCCCTAAACCCCTGAAGCCCTAAACCCTAAGCCCTAAACCCTAAAGCCCTAAACCCTAAAGCCCTAAACCCCCATAACCCCTAAACCCCTGAAACCCCTAAACCCTGAAACCCCTAATCCCCTAAAACCCTGAAACCCTGAAACCCCTAAACCCCTAATACCCTAAACCCAAAAGCCCTAAACCCTAAGCCCTAAACCCTAAAGCCCTAAACCCTAAAGCCCTAAACCCCCATAAACCCTAAACCCCTAAACCCCTGAAACCCCTAAACCCTGAAACCCCTAATCCCCTAAAACCCTGAAACCCCTAAACCCCTAATACCCTAAACCCAAAAGCCCTAAACCCTAAAGCCCTAAACCCTAAAGCCCTAAACCCCCATAACCCCTAAACCCCTGAAACCCCTAAACCCTGAAACCCCTAAGCCTAATCCCCTAAAACCCTGAAACCCCTAAACCCCTAATACCCTAAACCCAAAAGCCCTAAACCCTAAAGCCCTAAACCCTAAAGCCCTAAACCCTAAAGCCCTAAACCCTAAAGCCCTAAAGCCCTAAACCCTAAACCCCTAAACCCCTGAAACCCTTAAACCCTGAAACCCCTAATCCCCTAAAACCCTGAAACCCCTAAACCCCTAATACCCTAAACCCAAAAGCCCTAAACCCTAAAGCCCTAAACCCCTGAAGCCCTAAACCCTAAGCCCTAAACCCTAAAGCCCTAAACCCTAAAGCCCTAAACCCCCATAAACCCTAAACCCCTAAACCCCTGAAACCCCTAATCCCCTAAAACCCTGAAACCCCTAAACCCCTAATACCCTAAACCCAAAAGCCCTAAACCCTAAAGCCCTAAACCCCTAATACCCTAAACCCAAAACCCCTAAACCCTAAAGCCCTAAACCCTATAAACCCCTGAAGCCCTAAACCCTGGGTTGATGCGAGGGTGTCTTTCAGGGCCGGGTTGTTTCGGCTCGTGAGGCTCCCTTCCAACGCTTCCTCTATGGACCTTGTTAGTTGAGATATGAGCCCAAAGGGTCCTATGTACCTATATTGTAGAATGTAGGACTTCTATATTAGGAATTACGATTTTGATCCAGGGACGTATCCCTCATAACGGTACATAGGATCCTTTGGGCAGAAGTGGGGTTTACGGTTCGGTGATTGGTTTAGCTAACCAGGAGTGGCTTCGACTTCCGTCTTGGCCTTGAGAAAGCTGTCAAATGCGAGGTCTTACTATATTGAGTGGCATGTTGGGGTATTTCTCAATGTGTTGCCTGATCTGGTGTTCAATGCTCAAGCCCTATGCTTCCAAGGACCTTATAGTTAGGGCCCTAGACCCCCCCTTAAGGACCCAATAATAAGGTCCCTGGAAGCCTAGGGAAAGTGACGGAGAGGTTTTGCCGTAGCCCCACAAAGCAGGCCATGAGTCATGAGTCTGCGGAGCACGGTTCTGTTTTGTGTACGGTCGTGATCCCAAAGGGTCCTATGTACCTGTATAGTCGAATGTAGGGTTTCCAGATTAGGAATCACTATTAGGATCCAGGGAAGTATCCCCCATAACAGTACATAGGACCCTTTTGGGGATGATGGAATGCAGGGTTTCGGGCTTACCAGGACCACCCAAGTGCCCCTTACTAGAGCCCTCATAGTCTTTAACCGTGGCTATGTACGGCATGTTCGAGGCAGTTGGGGGGTCTAGGTAGGGTTGTTCATAGAGCCCTTCAGAATTCCCTAAACCCTAAACCCTCTAAGGAACCCTGAAACCGAGATCAGGAGATCTCCCAGCTCCCGGACGAGACGGGCACCTGTGGTCTCTACACGGAATCCGCAATTTGCGATCTGCAGGCTCTAAGTTCTTGCAGCCCCAAAGGCTCCTAAGTACCTGTTTAGGGTTTAGGGTTTAGGGTTTAGGGGTCGAATGTAGGGCTTCTATATTAGGAATCACTAAATTAGGATCCTGGGAAGTATCCCCCATAACAGTACATAGGATCCTTTGGGAGCTTCTTACCAGCAGGACCCCCCCTTTAATAGAGTCTTTATGGCCCGAAATAGTGGGTATTTGGGGTATAATAGGGGGGTCTAGGTATGGGATCTCGGCCACGGACCAAAACAAACGAGACTTTGTTCCCTAAACCTCATCTGGCCCTGCTATAACATAACGATATGTAAGGATTAGGGCTTGAGGTTCAGGGTTATGTATATGTATACCAGTACACTTATATAAATATGTGCAGATAGATAGATAGATACGCAGAAATGTAGGGACCCCGATTATTTGAGAGTAGAGCTCATCTGCTTTAAGGTTTGAGGGTCATTGATGCATACGGTATAGGCTTAACCCTGGGCCCCTCGGTTGTGCGCAGACTGCGACAACTGCTCGTGGCCGTTCCTTCTCACTGGTGGCAGCTTGGGCTGCAGCTGGTAGCACATACTACTTACTAAGTTTTCTTCGAAGTTTTCAATGCCGGGCCTTTGTAAGGATGTATATTGGCTTGGTATACGGATCGTGTTGGCTGCTGGTTTTGTTGGAGGGCTACTTATATAGCGCTGTCCTACCGGTTGAAACATTGTTACGTACTTCGCAACCTGATTCACAGACTTCCGACTCTTACTCCGGGTATTTGTAGCATGGGTCCTAGTTTTTCTGAGACCCACGGCTTCAACAGTCAGGTTCCCATGGAGCCCCGTTAATTACCGGCGTAGTAGGTCACTGAGTTCCGGACAGCGTCGGGTGTATGTAGTTGAGAGATCAGGATTCCAGTACAGTCTCTACATGGGAGTTTCCGAAATTTCGGGGTACCTTATTTTGGGCCCTTATAATAAGGATCCTATGCAAGGTAGTATGTTAGGGTCCCCTATTTTTTCGGAAACTCCCACATTTATAATTCTACATGCCTGACCCGACCCAAAACCCACTATTCCAGAACCCCCCATATACCAAAGAACCCCAAGGGGGGCCTTCATTGAAGGAGTAAGGCGTACACGGATAGCGCTAAGGCGCCCTTGAGGGGGGTGTATGTTTTTCAAGCTTCTTAGTTATGCTGTCTGGCTTTCCAGTTGTTGGCTGGCTCTCTGTCTGTGTGTCTGTCTGTATGTCTGTCTGTTCACTTATGGTTAAATAGCTGCTAAACAATCGGTAGGACGAGGACCCTAGCAAAAAACTCAGTTATCCAGTCTGCGATCCTCAACCCTCAAGTCTAAAGCCTCAAATCTCTAAACCCTATATAAACCCTGGAGTTTATGTAGAGGCTCCATAGTATATAGTTCCGTTTTGGGGTTCATATTCAGCATCCTATAAGGTAATCCCAAAAAGGAACTACTATGGAGCCTATGGGTAAACCGTAGTCCGAGGCATCACCACGCATCGGCGACGAGCAGCAGCTGACGCTGCAACCCAGGAATAGGACTGGCGTAGGTACTAAGGGGCCTTGAATGGCCTTGATAAGTAGAATTGGGTAGGGTTCCTTTAAAGGGGTCTATGAGGGTTACTGTGAGGGATCTATAAGGGTACTATAATGTAGGGGTCTGAATGATTAGAATACGGTTTTGGGTATATTATACTGCAATCATATTAAAGCACCCCCCAAAAAAAAATAATAATAAATAAATAACAAATAGTATGGGCAATTCTTGAGGCCCCTATATTACTGCAGCTTCTCGGATCATGGGCAGTGTGAAGTTTGTATAGGGCTTCAGGCACAAGAGTTCATTACCCATAGGCTCAATGGTAGTTTCGTTTTGGGGTTCATATGCAGCATCCTATAGGGTAACCCCAAGAAGTAACTACTATGGAGCGTGTGGCTCCAGATCCACATCCTGAACTACACCACATCACCCTGCAAGCGAAGGAGGAGAGTCCAGCGACCGGGTTGAACAGAAGACACCATACCAAGGACCCCAAGCAGACACAAACGTTGAACTACCCTCTGTAATGTTGTCGTTGGCCTCAAGGCCTCTGAACATGAGTAGCTAGGGCCTAGGGCTAGCCTTCATACCCTTCATTAAGGGAAGCTTTCGGGAAATCCTCAGACCCCTTAACACCTTAACAACCCTTGAACCCTTACAGGTTTTGAAAGTGCAAGCCCTAAGCCATCATAAGCCCCAAACAACCAACCCTAAAGCCTAAACCTGAACCCTTCAACCCCTAAACCCCTAAACCCCTAAACCCCTAACCCTAAAGCCTAAACCTGAACCCTTAAAACCCCCTAAACCCCTAACCCTAAAGCCTAAACCTAAACCCCCTAAACCCCTAAACCTCTAAACCCCTATCCCTTAAACCCTGAAGCCCTAAACCCTAAAAAGGTATGCCATCCTGTTCGACCCACTGGTTGTCAGCTATGTGGCTGGCTCAACCTATCCGGACAACTCCAGTGCCCTGGTCGCCTTTGACAAGTGGAGTTACAACGTGTTCCGGTGTGTTTCTGCCAGGACCCTCCTTGTACCCTCAAACAGGGGTAGATGGTCCCTAATAGTAGGTATTTAGGGTCTAATAGAGGGTAGAAGGAGGGTCTAGGTGTAAAGGTTTTTTGAAGCCTGAAAAGGAGAAGCCTTCTGTAAGGTTGTCTTTCCGGGTAAGTGTTCCATTGCGGGCTTTTGGGCTGTCGGGGTTTAGGATTCTGTATTCCGGGCTCAGGGCGGGTAGAGAGGTTCGTGCTTAGCACTGCGTGATGGAATTTAGAGGCCTTGGAATGGGTGTAGGAGTTTTGCGTGGCCATGGAATGAGCACTTCGAGGGTCTACATTTCTGGGCCTACCCAAGCCCGGAAGACTTAAAATGAGTTGAATGAAAGCTTCAGGTTTAGCGATGCCGTGCCGAGGCACGTATTCGCGACCTCCATACGCCTTCCACGTCAATACAGGCCCCTCGCGCTTGAATCGAATTTGTTAGGGGTTTTGGGCAAGGTGACTCATCAACAGCTTCGGGCTGAACTTGCTCACTCAGCACAAAGCTCCAAGCCTTGAGATGCTGTTTTTTTCTGACCTTTGAACATTAACCTCTGAGACTCTCAGAGGTTCTCAGATGTGAACCCTGGAGCCTTAAACCCTAAAGCCCTAAGCCTGAACCTCTGAGGCCATGTAGGGCTTAAGGTGCAGGGTGTAAGGTTCAGGATTGAGGGTTTAAGGCCATAAGTCGCAAACCTTGCTGTGCAGGTGGGATTTCCTTAGCCGTGGCTTCCACCCACACGTCGCCCTCTACAGCGGAGCAGGCGGCTGGGAGAGCAGCGTTACTATTGAAATTACTATTACTGTCACATTATACCTCTTGACTCCGATTTCTATGCCTGGACAAGGATATTTCCAGCTCCAGCCTAAGGCTCAAAACAGCCCAAACACCACTCTTTCGTACTTTGTGGGCACGAAAGCCCAAACATGTGAGTCCTTAGAGCCTCTAGGATCGGGTTTAGAGGGTGTAGGGCGAATCTGCGAGATCCCGTACTCCAAATTCTATACGTTTCTTCCTGTTCAGCACAACCTTTTTAAGCCTTTTGGCCCATAACCCGGTAACCTACTGCATAAGTAAGGGGGCTGATAGTGTTTGGGGTTGGATTCGAGCCTTGGCTGCAGGTGTAAGCAGCCTTGAAACGAAAATCCTAAGTGGTGTAGGGTTGCGAGTTATACGTAGGCCTTATAAGTAGCATATAACTGTAGTTAAAGCATATATTAGGCGACTGATAACTCGACTTATAACTGCCCATGAACCTCCAAGTAAACTCTAGCCAAAGACTGTTAGCTCCCTGATTCCGAAAGCCGAGATATTTCAGTCATCCTGGGTTGTAATTGTAGTCGTGATGGTTTGTCCAACAGCAGTATTCCGTTCGAGGTTCTAGGTACCGGCCTGAAGTCTACTATGCTGTTAGGGTGGTGGACTTTCAGGGTGGGTCTTTTTGGATCCAGGGTTCAGGGCCTAGGGCCTCTGGTTTAGTTTGTACGCGCTGCAAGGAAATCGCGGCTTATCCTCAAGTGCTCCAGTGGATGGAGGCACATTCAGTGGTGCAGTCTGACTGCGAGCTGAAATCCTCAAAGTCGCAAGTCTGCAAGCATCTGCCAGCCCGAAGCTCCAATTCCCAAAGGGTCCTATGTACCTATATAGTAGAAAGTAGGGTTTCTATATTAGGAATTCTTATTACGATCCAGGGAAGTATCACCCATAACACTACATAGGACCCTTTGAGATTACTTACCTTGGGTTTACATGTGCAGCATCTAAATTGCTAAAGCTCGAAACAGTACTGTTTGTTGCACTTACGGTTGCCCTCAGGATCCATGCAACCATGTAGGAGGTACTTTGGCCCTAAGGTACCCATATACGGGTTTGATTGAATCGAAGGCACAAGTATGTATGTATGATTATGTATGTGTGTACGCTTATATGTACATGTACATATATATATATATATATATATATACACACACACTATCCTCAGCATCGTGTTGCAGTAGCGATAGCAGGTCACTGCTCTTTCCATCATTCACAGTGCAAGCCCAATGTTTGATCTGGATGTTGCTAGCTAGTCGCAGCTAGTCGCACATGCAAATCCGTAGCTCTGTGCGTGCATGTAGGTATGCAGATATTCACACACGCAACACACACATATACACACGCAGACGCGTGCACAAACACATACACACACACACACGAAATTACTATGCATGTATGTATGTATGTATGTATGTCTGCATGTATGTAACTATGTATGTGTGCATGCAAGTACGCATTTGTGTATATATATATATATATATATATATGTGTGTGTGTATATATATATATATATATATACGTGGTAGTACCAGGCACTGCTATCATTGTACATGGTACAAACTTGCAGTAAACAAAATACAGCGGCAGCATCAGCATTATTCCTGCGCCGCTGTAGGTATTTTTGCTTGGTTGGTACTGAGAGAAAAGGAGATATCGTGCCACCTGCTGCGACCACTGACTACCGATCTGCTGGGTTCGGCAACGGATTGCTCTTCGCGACGATGATTGCCATCTTAAGCCTAACATCGACGATAGTCATAGAACCAATCAGCGCGGTCAACCATACCATGTGTTGCATCAGATGCTTTCATCACCAGTCGTTTCTGTATGGCTATGATAATTACGTAGACGGCAGCGCGTACGGATGTCCAGCCTAAAGCCGTCAGGCCACCTTCGCAGCCGATATCTACATGGTTGCTGGGGACTTCAATGCCGATGGCAGCTACTTCGATGAGGCGTGGCTTCGTATCTTTGTGTGCTTACCCAGAGGCTCCAAAGTAGTTCCTTTTTGGGGTTCATATTTAGAATCCTATAAGGTAATCCCAAAAAGGAACTACTATGGAGCCTATGGGTAGACGTACAGGATCTGGGATGTTGGGAACTGGCTGGCAGGATTCCTCGTGGACGCCAATCATGGCCCAGATTCCCAACTACACGCTGCTGACGGGGACCGGGTCCCGTCAGAGGGGTTGCGTTCCGGGCTGGGGGCGGAGGCAGGGGCACAAGTTGCATCTCAATGCTCTCCCTGAGGCTCAACAGATGCCGCACATAGTAATTGTGACCTGTTGGGCCCCCTAAACCCTGAACCTTACACCCTAAGCCAAGCAGCAGAAATGAGGGTTATGTGATACATGAACAACTGAAGCTTCTGGGGGGTTCAGAAGTGGTCCCATGATCTGCGACGGGGCTTTAGTTCAGGTTTCAAGGTTCGGGTCTAGGGTCCTGCTATGGTTGCAAGTTCAAACCCCCCAGAGTTCAAATTCCCAAAGAAGGAAGGCTCAGGATTTTCACAGGCTGCAGAGTCGCGGCCCTTGCAAGGAACCAGAGCCCTAAACCCAAACTTTTTCAACCGATCCAGAGCATTAAGCCCCAATTTTGTCACCTCTAAACCTTATCCCCCAGTTTTACCAACTCTAAACCTTATCCTGAGATGGGTGGCCCCTGAAAGGAACGAGATGGACACCACGGTCTCCGTCAGCAGCAACGCCTACGACCGGATCATTGCCACGTCAACTCTTCAGGCTGGCATTTACGGTTTCGGGATTAGGGCCGTTTGGGGCTTGGGGTTTAGGGCTTTAGGGTATAGAGCTGCTATTGGGGTATGGTATGCAGGTCATGCATATACGTGTACATATATAAAATAAATAAATAAATAAATGTGCATTTATGTCTCTGTGGTCTTGCGCTGGTGCCTGCTTTCCGTCCTTAGGCGTCTGTCCGGAATTTTGAGTGCATGAATCGTGTATATTTTGGCCCGAAGTAGGCCCCAGAGATGGGTTTTAGGGCCAGCGTAGCAACCATATGGGAGTTTCCGAACATAGGGGACCCTGATACAGCACCCCAAATAATTAGTAGGATCCGATGAAACGGACCCCGAAATGAGGTACCCCTAATTTTCTGAAACTCCCATATGGTTACATGGAACCTTAGGGCCAGCTCGCTTCTTCAGGCAGATCCCGCTGCAGTCTTCGTCATTGAGGACCACATCAACCTCACAGGACCGGTTTTGGGGTTTCGAGTTTTTTAGGGTTTCGGGTTTAAGGTTTAGGGTTTTGCGTTTCGGGTTTAGGGTAGAGTTGAGTGGAAGTGTTGAAGGGGAATCCCTTAACCGAGACTTAGAGTGTATTGGGTTTAATGGCTGAAAGGGCTTCGTTCAGGCTGAGCACGGCCCGACATGGCATCCAAAGAACCTGCTTGGCTGGGATCCGTTTTGAGGGTCCTCTACAGTGCTGAACTCCCGTCTTTTGACAGACTTAGAAACACGAAGCTTGGTGGTTTTGGGTTTAGGACTGTAGAAACGTATGACTATATGTGCGGAGGCAGCGGTTCCCATGAGTCTGTGATGTAGGATGTCTGGGACCCTAACCCCGCGCCCAAACCATCGGCAGTCATTTGCGGTGATTACAAACTCAAGAACGCGACCGAAACTAAGGCTATGCCATGCTCCAGTATCCATGCTTCCATCGCCTGGCATGCTCCAAATTAGACAGTCTTTCACTTCAAACTGCGGTGGTGACGCGTTCAAAATTCTGCACCTTAAACCCCGGTGAATCCAAGTGATCGCACATTCAGCATGCTAGACTTTGACTTCCAAAAATCAACGGATCCTCATTAGTCTAACATCCATCTCTTCGCCCTAGTCCCCAAAGCCTCTACGTGCATCCTGAATAACTCAAAACCGCAAACCCTGAACCCTACCTGAAGTAGGTAAACGAGTTGCCCGACACCTGTAGAGTGCGTTTCTTCTGCAGACTTTGGGGTCCAGGTAAAGCCTACTAGGACCTACAGTAGGCCCTTATTTCCTTTTTTTTCAGGGTTCAGGTTCCCTTATAAGCCCCTCTAAACTAGAAGGGCACCCTTTCTGTGCCTAGGTTACTCTTGGGTCTAGCCTAAATCCAACAAAAGCAGCCTCGCATCGGGGGCGAGCACAGGAGTCTTCACACAGGGCTGCGCGGCATCTGGTCGGCAGTCCAGAAAGTTTTGCTCGGATCATGGGACTTACTACCTAAACTCATGGTTTAGGTTGCACATTAATAATTAAGGTTCACAGGACTGCGTAGGTATGGTTAGATATCTCACTCAAATGTGTGTGTTTTGATTACGTATGTTTTTAGCCCTTAGTGAGGAACCTTCAGCCTGACTTCATAAGTCCATTGGTCCTTCAGGAAAGCCCAATGCTACCTTTGTAAGGGCGAGGTAGTAATGTGATACGCCTAGTTAAGTGTCATAATGTAGGAGCCTGGTTAAGAAACCCTGGGCCTTTCCTACAGTATCATGCAATGAAGGAGCCCGCCAGGATTTCACCGTTTCTTTTGAGACTCTGAAAAAGCTCCATGCTCTAAAGCCTCTCAACCGACTATGAGAACCTCATACACGGTTTAGGGCTTAGGGTCCTAAACCTTAGGGTTTAGGGTCCTAAACCCTAAACCCCAAACACAGCTGAACTAGGGGTCGATTTGGGATTACTTCTAATTTCTCTTATTATTTTTCAATACAGAGCCCTGACCATAAACAATTGTGGGAGGTTTACGGTTTACAGTAATCCCCATAGAGTTTGAAACCGTATTAAGGCCAAATAGTGATGGGATTCCCCATACAATGCTCAGAAGGATTGAGGCTATTGGGTTTCTAACTTTTGAGCTTCTATTGTAGTGTGAAATCAACACCTCGTTAAATTCCGAGAGCCCGAGGATAGCTACATCTCCAGCGACATCTGCAGCGCGAGCCCGGTAGACTGGGTGGAAGTGACGAAGGAACTGAGCCCTTCGGCAAAGGTATCGGGTTTAGGGTTTAGAGTTTAGGGGTTCAGGGTTTAGGGTTTCGGGATTTCAGGGTGAAAGTTACAGCAAAAGCCAGAAAGTTGGAGCATCATTATCCTACTGTATAACGGTTTAAAGATAGAATATAGGGACTCCTACTTACAGAGGTTCAGGGTTTGGGGCACGGGAAACCGTTAAGCAGTTGTTCACTAACGGAAGGCCTACGATGACCTCTTGATGCATTTTCGTGTGTCCTAGTATAACCTTGATTAATACCCTAAACCCCCTAACCCCAAATCCCTAAACCCTAAATCCCTAAACGCTGAATCTGTAAATCCCTAAACCCTACACCCTAAACCGTAATATGTAGCGTATCGAGGCCCTGCGAGAGAGTCAGTCCCGAAGATGGGATGTGGCTTTTTTGAAGGGATGTGTTGGAAGCTTCGCGTTTGCATGTTGAAACCCAATACACCCTGAAACGTATCCTCGAACCACAGGTTATGCGCCCTAAACTCCGACCCATACAGGAAACCGAACATGACCTTTAAAGCCATGGCAACCAAGCCTGTTTCAGCGGTACGAATCCCAAACGCTGATTCTTATGGGAGCTTATTTATAGAGCCCTTGTCAGACTTCTTCGATAGAATCCTCATAAATATATATATATATATATATATATATATATATATATACACACACACACCCTAATAGGACCTTTTCACAACTTTGCGTATTTTGGGAGCCCTTGTGCAGGCGACCACTACCCTGTGGAGCTGTGCATGCACTTGAACGGCACAAGCTGCACGAGCCTGGGGCCCGAAACACCACACTGCCCTTACCCTCCAGTGCGGTTCATTCTTGGTCGTCCACTTGCGGGTCTACCCATGGTTTAAGCCTTAATCCTTATGCCCAGATGTTGGATCTCTAAATGACAGCACGGCGTCTGCTGCAGCAACGAGTCACCGCAAACCCAGAACACCAATGCCTTCAAAACGTCACCCTAAACCCTAAAACCCTAACCCTAAGGGTCCAAGTAGTCCCTATTCATGTTTTTGGTGCCCAAAATGGACCCAAAGTCCCATAATAGGGAGTACTTGGACCCTTAGGGTAAGCCTGCAGCTCGGAGAGCTTTCGGCTGTTCCTGAAGTTTTAAAAGCACCCTAAACCAGTCCTAGCAAGCTTGATATAGGGGTCGGAAAAATTACCCATGCTATTTCCTCGGCTTCCTTTTTGTTATCATACAATAACATACCCCCCTAAACCCTAAACCCCTAAACCTTTACCCATACTTTAGTACTCTTGTAGATCCCTCTCAGGCGCTTGTTGACGACGGTCCATGCGGACTGTGATTCCCTAATCCAAAGCAAACCGTTTAGGGTTCAGGATGCAGGCTTTAGAGCTTATAGGGAACTCCAGAAAGTTGGAATATGGTTTCAGGGTAGGATACCCTATAATTTGCCATAAAGGGTTTAGGATAATCATATTCCAACTTTCTGGCTTTTACTTTATAGGGGCCAAACACCTATAGGGCTCCAGTTGCGTAAATACTTGGTATAACTAGCCATGTAGTATATAGCCCAGTAACCCAGTCGTTAGGTATCTGCAGCCCTAGGGTAAGTTCGGTAGAATAGATCCGGCCTGCTGTTTGATTGTATGTCACTCGCGCAGTTTAGATTGTGGATCTTTCACTGAAAATCCGCCACCCTCAACTATGTCTGTCATGAGCCAGTGCATAGCTGGTCTTTGTAAACTTGGAGCCTTGTGTGCCGGACAGGTGACTTTGTATGTGCAGGTGTCAGCAGGGTAGCCACGCCTTGGTTCACATATTCGCAACTACCCAGCAACTCCAAAACCCTGCAGCCTTTTGCTACCTTCTTGTGTTGTAGTGGGGTCGCCAAACAAAACTTTTGGCTTATCTCTGAATCGGGCTTGCTGGGTGGAAAAACCGTCATGAAAACTCATAAACCCCTGCCAGAAGCTTCTTCACAAGCAGCCTAATAACAGCCTCAGTTCGCCTACCGTGCCAAAGGTGCCAAACCAATTAATTAAGGACCAAACCACGAGTCATACTAGGATTCCTACTATATAGCTCAGGGGATGTGCCTTTTTTTTCAGGGGCTTTGGACTCCGGGAACACTGAAGAAACTCTCAACCTTTATCCCTAGACATTCTTTCTCTGGGTCCTGTCTTCGTGGCCTCAGTCCCTGTAAAACTCTTTAGAGGAAATCTACCCTAAACCCAAGCAGAATGCCCCATGCAAACCAAGGACCTGCACGACGGAAGCCCCACTGCCAGAGCTGGAGCCTGGAGACTGCGTCACATGGCTGTAGTGGGCTTGTCAGTGCGGATTTCGGGTTCAATCACGACATACCTATCATGTTGTACATACACGTCTATGCGGATGTAGGTATATATATATATATATATATATATAAATATGTATATATACCAGTTCTTGGCTGCACAAATTTCGAAACAACGCTTGCCGTTTAAGCGGTATCATTGCAGGTATATTTCAACTGTATGGGGTAGCAGAGCAATGAGCTCGTAATCGGCTAGCTCCTCTGTCTTACGACAAGTCATATGCCATGCCCCCACCGCTACACCCTGAAATCCTCTACTCCCTCAGTTGGCCTCCACTCCTGTATCCCAAGCCTCAGGCTTCTGCAGTTTCCCGTGACCTTGCCATGCATCGTTAGACGTCTAGGTTCGAACACCGGACCTTGAACCGTAAAGCCTCAGCCCGAAGGCCAAGACATAAACAAAATGTGAGGTTTTGTTACGGTAACCATTGGCTTCCAGGGACCTTATTATTGGGTCCTTAAGGGGTCTAGGGCCCTAACTATAAGGTCCTTGGAAGCATAGGGTAAGATCAGGACTAGTACCGAGTAACCTAGTAATTAGCTTTTTGCCCAAAGCACGTGACCTTGAACCCTGAATATGGAAGCTTCAACTCTCAAGTCGTCTCCCACAGCACCAGGCTGTTGTGGGCTTTGCTGCGGACAACCCGGACAACTTTGGCATCCTCCTTCTCCGCACGCCCTACGGCCCTGAGTATGAAGACCATGCCTTGATTGCGGCTACTTACGGTTGATGATCTAAACCCTGCATTACCCATAATAAGGAATATACCATAATTCCCATAGTTCAGAGTCCTTAAGGTAATGCAGGTTTTGTATCATCAACCGTAAATTTGCTATCTCCCACGCGTGGGTCCGTAAAACCGAAGAGGGTTCTCCCACTCAAAGGCCTCATGTTCAGGATCCTGCCTTTACCTGGACCCGCAAACTATTCTTTATGGTAGTCCCTAATTACCTCTGCATGAGAAAGTCAGAGCCCTGTAAAGGGTACGTCGGGGGATCCTGTCTATACGAATCTATGATAGCATTCATCATTTGCTGGAGCTCCGTTGATATTGCTGCATCGATGGACTTCGATCTTGGTTACCATTGTGGTCCTAAGCCCCTAAACCCCTAAACCCTAAACCCCTAAACCCTAAACCTTAAACCCTATGTGGCCGAAGACTACAGCTTCAGGCTGATCGGCTTTGGTTTAGGATTTGAGGTTTAGGGTTCAGGGGGATTTCTTACGACTTGGAGGTGCTCAGATTTTGTTGTTCAGAGACTGTGCTGTATAGTAAACCCTAAACTTAGAAACCCGCTAACCCTAAAGCCCTAAGTCCTCAGCCTCCAAGCCCTTAACCCCTTGGGTTAGTATGGGGGTCTGAATACTGTCATAGTGGCTAACATCATTCCGAGGGGTTTCCAGGTATAGTCAGACTACAATGGGAGTTTCCGAAAATTCAAGGTACCTTATTTTGGGGTCCTTATAATAAGGATCCTATTATATGGGGTACTATATTAGGGTCCCCTATTTTCGAAAACTCCCAAATATGCCTTGGGTCTGAACAGTTTAGAAAATCATTTCGTAGGGTTCGACCCTGGACTGAGCTAACCATACTCACACATGCCGAAGCCCCGTCCTCACTCTTTACCGCCTGAGTTTTGAAGGTGTATTGAGTGCTTTACTCAGTCCGTCTTCCCTTGCCTGAGAGGGATCTCCAGTTCATTCTTAGATCCGAGGTTCTATGCGGGGCATCAGATCAAGGCGAGATGCTTTCGTTGTGTTTGGGTATTCTCGATAGTCTCCACTGTAGCTCGTTTTTTGTTTAACCAATGTTGGTTCGGTTCCCATGCTAGCAGCAGTTTAACCCTAAACAAGGACTACACAATGCAGTCCCTGAGAATTATATATGTAGCCTAAACCCTCAGCTCCAACTTTTAACCCCTGGACCAGGAACGTAAAACCCTAAAGACCTAAATTCGCAAGCCCTGAATAGGTTTTGTAACATGGGGGAGGTTGCCCTCTGGGTCGAAGCAAGACCGAGACTCTAGAGTTTATCTTTTGGGGCTTAAGCGGCTTAGCGGGTAGGGGGTTTAGGGTTTAGGACATGGTGTTTCGAAATCCTGCACACCTGAGCTCGATACACTCTTCGCACCACACAATGTTTCAGGGTTCGTGCCAGGTACCCATAGGCTCCATGGTAGTTCCTTTTCGGGGATTACATGATAGGGTTCTAAATATGAACCCCCCACAAGTCCCACAAGGAACTACTATACGGAGCCTATGGTATGGGTAACTCCACATTTGCGGAGGGCGATTGCGGCACCAGGCTCGAGGCAGTAGCTTTGTTGTTCGGTTGGAGGCCACTGGAACCAACGGTAGTGACATGTAGTAATATGTCCAAAGGCTCCATGTAATCATATAGTATATACATATACACACATGCCTCAAAGGGGTTCGTATATGGGCATTTTACATTTTATAAGGCCGAAATATATAGTTACCATATGTCATTCAGTGCCGCACAGTCTCAACAGTCTGCTTCAGACCCGCAACATTTCAGCATCATCCCACCAATGCGCTTACTTTGTGAGAATTCAAAGATGCGCACCCAGGAATGGACTCATTTCTGAAGTGCATAATCTGAAGTGCATAAGACCCGCGGGGCGCCTTGCTTAAACTGGTCATTGTTCTCGGGAAGAGATGACGACTTGACCCCCTACCCCTTCAAAATAAAGCAGGAATGATGATATGTTCGCCATCATGTTGTTTTGGTTAGCGTCCCTATCAGGCCACTTGAACTACAGCTGTTATAGACTCCTTCCACAGGACTTTTGTGCATGTTTGTCAGCCGACCCGAAACCCTGTCAAGCCGAAAAGGCACCCTGAACTTAAGCGCTAAATCCTAATTCATACCCTATCTTCTGTTACCCTTACGGTATGCTTAAAACACCCTTCCGGGGTCTTGCGATGTGTGAAGGTCACCGACTCGGGTGTGCAAAGCGACGGCGCATTGCGCGATGGTGAAGGCAGGCCATGCGGTTGTGTCAGAAGGTACCCAGACGCCGTACTCTAGCTATCCAGGCCCTTCTGTTAGGTGTCCTTAATCCAAAAGTCCAAACCTCTAAGCCCTAAAACACCGTAGCTATACCCGAAAGCCCTGAACCCTTGTCTGGCCCTTGACCCCCTTAAACAAAGAATTTAGGGTTTACGGTTTAGGGTGCCCTAAACAGCAGGCCTGGTACCTATACCCTAAACTCCTAGAAGTCTACTTGGAGGGGCAGGGGACTTAGTAAGTATGGTTATAAGTATGGTCATAATTGGAGTAACTCCATTTAGGGTACTTATAACTCGACTGATAGCCATACTTACTAAGTGCCCTGCCCCTCCAAGTAGAAGCCTTAAGGCTCGAGTAGCTTCGACTGACGGAGAGATCCCAATCTCAAGGCATTCTTCAGTTCGATGCAGAGGAGGAGCTACCTGCAGGTCCTGCGATAGGGTTGGGTCAGGCTTGGGGGAGCCAGCTATTTGGTTATGATTCAACCAAGGTAACAACTTGCAGGGGCAGGGGACACAATGAGAAGTAGGTTATAAGTAGAGTTCTAAGTACCCTGAATGGACTTACCCCAATTGTAACCCTACTTATAACCCTACTTACTAAGTCCCCTGCCGCTCCGAGAAGGTAAGGTAATACATTTAAGGGCCCTTAGAGAGTCCAAGATCCAAAGAGTTGTGCCTACATTAGGGTTTTCGGGCTTCAGGGCTCGGGGTCAGGGTTTAAGGTGTAGGATTTCGGGTTTGCTCATCGACACTTTGTGCGGCCCAAGCGTCTGTGGTTTGTTTGTTCCGCTTTCCGGCATAGCAGCAACGGATAGAACGCATGGCATAAGTGACACCATGAGAGGTTGAGAATGTGAACGACCGCCGACCCCCTCATTGCAGGCACCCTCCTCTTATCGATGGCAATAGAAGCTTCAAGACCAGGTTGATGATACTTGCGAGTTTAAGGTTTGCTATTCCTGAGCCCTGCACCCTGAAACACGGTCATGCTGAGGTGCTTGGAGTCTTAGAGCCCTCGGGTAAGTTTCTGAGCCCAAAATCTGGACACCAAAATCCTGACACCCCTACCATGAAAGACTGGGACCCGGCCGATAACCCTCAATAAGCCCTGAGCCCCAAAACTCTTGAGGGCTTTCAGGTACGGTGCTCGTGTTCGCCAACTTCTCCACGACAGAGGGCTCCTTCGCGCTCTCATCCTCTGGGGATCAGGCCTTTGGGCTTTTAGCGGTTGCAAAGGGCACTTTCGGGATTTTGGCGCAAGGGCCTCGAGAGTGTGTTGGGATTAGGATGGGTTTAGGGCTTTAGGGTTTACGGCTGTAGGGCTTGCTTGCTGGATTCCCCCACGGTTTTTGCACAGGAGGATCTCCTAAGGGGATTTCAGGGCTTTCCAGAGGGTATTTTCAAGGGATTACGGTGCCGGGGCTGTTGTGGTTTAAGAAGCTAGGACCGCCTGCCTGCTCAACCCCAACATCGTGCCGACTTACCTAAGCGTGCAGGTGATTGTGTTCACCGGTGCGGCAACTTGGCTCTTTTGCCACCCAAAGGGTCCTACGTACTGTTATGGGGGATACTTCCCTGGATCCTAATAGTAATTCCTAATACAGAAACCCTACATTCTACTATACAGGTACATAGGACCCTTTGGGCCAAAATCTGTGCTTGCCCAGGGCTTATCTTCCACTGCCATGAGCTCTAGACACTCATAGGTTGGCTTCGTTATTGTTGAGATGTTTTGTGTAGTGTCCGTACGTGTGTGTATACATATATGACAAGTTATACACAAAAACATACATATAATATGTACATACACGTGCGTATGATGATCGGCATCTACATGCTCAAGCCTTAAGCCTTCACTCGTTCGAGCTCGAACCCTGACGGTACCATCAGCTAAGAAGGTTACGGTGCACGTAGCTTCACGGGCTATCGTGTGTGTGGCAACTCCATCGTCCGAAGCTGTGGCTTCGTTGACTGATATGTTGGGGCAGAAAAAGGCCCAAAGACCATACTACTACTATACAAGGCCTTCGTGCTGTTTTGAGCCTTACCCTAAGGCTCATAGTGGCCGCCTTATTTGTATGGTCTTGGGGCCCAAAAACCTGAACATACGAGTCCTAGAGCCATGGGTTTAGGGCAAAACCGATCTCAGGACAGCTCTCCGACGTTCTTATGTGCTATCAACTTCGAAGGCTCTGCCGGAGGCGCCCAGTGGATTTTGGGGCGAACCAGTTACCAAAAAACCCTGCGGGTTTACAATGGCCCCCCCCAGTACCCTTTGAAGGGCTCTGATATTTCTCAGTAAGGGGTAATTAGGAGCGACAGTAAAGGCTAGTGGAGGTCAAGGGTTCCTTGTTATGGCTTCTAATTGATTTCCTTAAACAAGTGGTTTGGCTTTTTGAGGGCCACAGGTAGGGGCTTAGGATTCCTCCGGGGTTTATCAGGGTGTAGGGGTTCGGGATGTCGGCTTCGATTGTGTGACCCCAGACTAGAGAGCAATGTCACTGACAGAGAATGTCGTGTTAACTCTTGCGCGCCGCTGCCCACGTCGGACTAGCTGGAACTTGGGCCCTTCGTTTCCCAATGGGTCTCTTCTTCAAAATCAAAAGATGTGCAGGAAGTTGCCCACCAAGATCCGCGATGGGGACGTAGACTGCTTCCAGTGAGACTAGTGGCATTGTTTCGGTTCTTGCAGGGTTGGTCATGATGACGATATTGACGATCATGTGGTGATCATGCTGACCATGGCAAAGATGCTGGCGATCAATGTGATTGATGATCTTGATGACGGCACAGAGTTGAGCAGAGACTCCAAAACCCCTCGTTTCAGGAATATACCTTAAAACATATGAGGGGTCCTGCCGAAATTGTTGGTAGATTCCTCAATGTAAAGGGATCTGGAGTCTGTGGCAAAATGACGGCCGACCTCGCAATTTTTCGATGCCACCGGCTCTCCAAGGTAAACCCCATGCAACTCCCTTATAGAACCCTTTTAGATCCCCTAAAGGAGCCAGATAAGCCCGACATATAACTACCCATCAACCTCCAAGCAAGGTCCTAGGAAACCGGATTAAGGCCAAATAGTGCTGGGATTCCCTATACATTACTCTTGAGGATTGAGGCTATTGGGTTTCCATACTTTGGGGCTTCTACTGTAACCGTTTATGTCTGTTGTTTGGCCCTAAGGAGGCTTAAGTTAACCTTTGCATGTTTGTGTTGTTTGCCGAGCTGTTCTCCTGTATGTCGTCCTGGCATGTTCGGTTGTGATCTTGGTGATCGGGGTGAGGGTCAGGCAGTCTAGTTTACACATGTTTGGTGGTCTAAACTCCGGCACTAAAACCTCTTGATCTACTTATTCCGAAGATGCTAGTCGTCCATCAAAGCACTAGTTCCCGTTCTTGCCTGCCCAGAATGGCAATCCGATGCCGCAAGCACTGCGGAGAGTGCGCTCCCTCCAGGGATCGAGGCGCACAGAGTTTTGTGTGTTTTCGGGTGGGCCGGGGTTAGTCTCAGGGTGCCGGGCTTGAGAGTTGAATACCTTAGAAGCTGCCCCCACCCTGTAATACGGTTGATGATATAAATCCTGCATTACCCATAATAAGGAATATACCATAGTTCCCATAGTTTAGAGTCCTTAAGGTCATGCAGGATTTATATCATCAACCGTAGTGACTATAAGGATTATATTAGGGCCCTATTATATTCCGATTATACCACTATTCCAGGGTGGGGGACCCCTTCTAATGAATACCGTTTTAAAGGCCTTCGTGGTCTGATCGTTCAGGACCTGGGGCCACATGTGGCTTTAGAGCTTCGGGGGCTTTGTTGAGAGATCTTTCTGCTTGTCGGCCCCGAACCCCTGACAGCAGAGGTCGAAAGAAGAACTAATATAGGGGCTCAGATTGCCTATACTATTTTGGTGGTTCCTTTACAAATTATAAACGTAGTATAATGGGCCCAAAACCCTATTCTATTTATGAAGGCCCCTATATTATTCATGCCGAATCCGACATCATCTCTATTCTCCTCAACCTATTATACTGCACCCGGAGCCCAACAGCGCAGTGGCTAAATCCTACAGCATCTCGGCGATGCAGGACTTCTCTTTGGCCTTGCCAGAGACGGTCACCAGCTCCGCAATGAGAATATTCTTGAAGGATCAAGGGACTTCGTAAGTAGGGTAGTTGGAGTTGTACTTATCGCAAGTGAGGTCAGTTTGATTACATCTACCTACCCCTAGGGATCTAAGGACTCATCTATTAAGGCTTTTAATGCCCAAAGACCATACTATACGGGCTATGTTGATCCCTAGGATATTATGTCGCACATTGGTCTTCCAAGTTCTCATAGACCCGCCAGGCTCACTTCCCCAAGCCAAAGACACAAAGCCCGAACCGGACTTCAAGCTCTCAACCTCACACTCTAAACCCTAAGCCCTGAACTCTAAACCCTAAACCCTGAACCCTAAACCCTGCACCCTAAACCCTAAACCTTAAGCCCTAAACTCTATAAGCGCTAAACTTGAACCTCAAACCCTAACCCTAAACGTCAGAGCCGGGAGAACTGAGACTTCTTCAAGTCAGCACCCCCCCAGGCCCGACTCCAGAAGTTTCCAACCCTTGTGGGGATTTGAGTGGTTGTCAAAATTATGGTCCCTTTTTGCGTCCCTACTATAGTAGTAGGGTACCCAAAAAGGGACCATAATTTTGATTTCACTTGGCTTCAGGATATACCTTAACCCCCGTTTTGATAACTTGTAAAAGGAAGTCATACTAGGTACTTTAAAGGGTACTTGGGGGGTCCTGGAGAATCTTGGAGGTTGAGGGTGTGAGGATGTTTTTACATGTAACGCGAAGTCACTTGCACGGCTGTTGTAGGGTGCAGGGCCGTGTGGGGTTTAGGATTTGGGTAGTTCTCGATCTAAATTAGGATGCCTTTTCGGGTCCTTCTATAAGGGTGCCGTACTAGTTTGGGAACCCAACAGCAGACCCTACTCTAGAGAACTACCCATGAGGGACTGCGCATTCTTCGGAAACATAGAGGGACCTCGCTACCCGTTCTTAGTTCGTTTACGAAGATTTTGGTTTTTGGTTTTGGGGTTAGGGTTTGTCCGTTTAGTTTCAGGGTTCAGGGTTTGTTTAGAAGTCCGAAGCATTTTCAGCTCCGGCTGCAACGGTCAAGGTTGAAGCCCGACAATGGTCTAGAGTCTATTCTACCTAGTAGTAGAGTAGGAAACCTTTAACCTTTTTTGGGTAATATAATTCCTATATAGACCCTATATAACCAAAAAGGTTAACCTTTAGTTCCCCATGATACCCGACAAGTAGGTCTAGGAACCTGATTGAGAAACCCTGGGTCTTTATTAGGCTTCCTTATATGAAGCCCAATATATTGGGGGTTCCAGGGCCAGGGTTTCTTAATCAGGCTCCTACATCCATAGGGTGTGGGAAAACCGAGCTTTCGAATCCTAGACCCTTCCAAAACTACACTTGCTTATAGAGTATTGAGCCAAGGTACCCACATCACCAAACTCCAGCCACCCTTCATCGGTTCCCCCTTTTTCATTTGCGGTTCCCTTATCAAAACCAAAAGGATCTCATCATTATTGAGGGGCCACCCAACCTAAACCCTCAGCCTTCGTACGTCAATCCGATAAAGCCTGAATCTGCGAAATCCTATGGTTACACGAAATCCATAGCCGAAGCGCAGAAAGAACGTGATGAAACTGGCTCGTTGACGATGGGTGCCGGTGACATCGAGATCTCACTGTTATGTGGGGATACATTCAATAATTATACCCGGGACGATCTCGAGCTATCTCTGGTTATGGGATCATGGCCCTCCGACTTTTGATTACAAATCTCTTCTTCCTGGCAGCATAGTCCGAGTCGACCTTGGCCCACCTCCTCAAGGTCCGGTGCTCGACAGCCTCTGGCAGATAGAGCCCGTATATGTCCCTTAATAGTGGGTATGTAGCATGTAGGGTGTATTAGAGGCTAGTTGGGGGGTTCAGGTAAACCCTAAAGCTTAAACCCCAACCCGAAACTCTGAAACCCCAACTCTAAACCCGGCGCCTCAACTTGCTTCCATCGCCACTAGGCGGCTTAGGGTTTAAGGTTCGGGTTTACGAGGTCCTCCCCTGAACCCCAAAGTTTCTAAAGGCTTGTGGGCAGGTCGGTGTTCTCTCTAGAAAACCCCTTACAGTAAACCCTATAAAGTTGGAAACCGGATTAAGGCCAAATGGTGCTGGGACTCCCTATACATTACTCTTAAGGATTGCGGCTGTTGGGTTTCCAACCTTTGGGCTTCTACTGTATGCCCAGAGAGCCCAATACCCCTTAATTAAGGAATATGGCTTAAATCATAATATGAAGCCCTATATATTTTGAGCCATATTCCTTAATTAAGGGGTTTTGGGCTCTCTGGGTGATGGAGCCCATATAACGCCACCCTAAAGTCTGACATGTTAGGGGTCAGAGGTTCCCGAATCCCGCTGAGGACAACGCCGGCTACTCCGGGCCCACGGAAGGCACGACAGAGGCCGGGCGACCGAGGGACCTTTAAAATCTGAAAGGCTCTGGGATTTGGGCTACAGTAGAAGCCAAGAAGTTGGAACATTAGTATCCCCATGCCCTTAACGTCAAGTATAAGGGATCCTAGCACTAATCCTCCTAAACCCATGTTCCAACTTTCTGGGATTCACTATATAGGGTTTGGGGTGTAGGGTGGAGGGCTTAGATTATACTTTAAGATGATTCCGTTGAGGTTGTTTAGAAGGGTTCCATTATAATCAGAGGGCTTCTACATATCGGGACCTTCCTGATCAGAGCTGGTTGTGCGGCACATGTTCGAGTTGTTCACGCTTCTGTTTAAGCTTGACATCAGACCGCCCCCAAGCTGCCCTGTGTTAGGTTGGCCTTCCTGGGGGATAGGGCTTAGGATCAACCCTGAACTAGAAGTTGCACACCCTTTAGACCGAATATCCTAGTTCGATAATTATGAAAAATTTCTAAATGTCGCAAAACCCTCACCGAAATCCTTTCTGTGCCTTAAATTAAAGTCCTCGTCACCCTGAAGCCCTAAGTCAACCCCCCCAAAACCCCCAGAGGAGCCATGCCGGTTAAGGGTTTAAGGCTCGAGAAGATTTACGGTCTACCCTAAGCCCTAACCCAGAGGGTCCAAGTACTCCCTATTGTAGGACTTTAGGGCCTTTTCAGGCACCAAAAAAAATGAGGACTACTTGGACCCTTAGGGTAAGCCCTGACTCAACCTCAAGACCCCAAAAGGAGCTGCGCCAGTGGATCAACACTGCAACTTATTGGAGCTCCAGCAATAGCCAGGCCGTTGCCTTTCCTGCAGCTTGTCCACTTCAGGTCTAGCTCACATACTCTAGGGTTTAGGGTTTTCCATAGTGGGAGGTTCATGGGTAGATGTAAATGGGGTTATAAGTCCCTTAATACAGGCCATGTTATCCTACTTACAAACCTTTTTTATACATACCCGTAAACCTCCCAGTAGTGAAGGTTTTGATATTTCGTTCTTACGTGTCGGTTTTTGAAGGGAAACAGCCAGTGCCGTATTTGTTGAAGGAGTATTCCTCAAGCAACGGAGTTTCTGGGTTCAACCCTCAAGCAAACGACTTTGGGTTCTATCCTAACACCGCCATCAACCAGAGAATATCGCACTGGTGGCATCGTGCAGCCAGGAATGCTTGTTTCGGGGTTGTTTGGGACCATGCCGGTCTTTGTTTGGAGCTTGAATCCGGAAGCAAACTTGGACTTGCCGGCCACGAACCTGTCCTTAGTATTAGAATCTAGCTATGGCAACAAGCCTCAAACCCAAAACCGTGCATCTCAATCTTACGCCCTCTCAATCTCATCCCGAGTCCCTTAAGACCTTCAGACCCTGTAGATGTACAAATTTACAAGCAAACTTAGATAGTGAACGGGGAACTTTAAACTTTTTGGCCTTATATATTAGCTCTATCTTAGAAAGTTTGAACTTTTTGGGGCCCGGTTGTTGAAGAAGAGAGCAAATTCTCCGAATACTTAGGCTGCTTTCGCTATCCATACCACGACAACCACGACGGCATCCGCCACGATGACCACTGTCACAGCAACGACATCTGGGACAGCCACCCGGAGCTGGATTGGTGGGCAATATAAAGCCTGAATAACAACGATAGGTTCGTGAATACACTTTTTCAGAAGATATTCATATAGTTCTAAAGGTATAACATGCCCCGCCAGAATCCTTTCAGGTCACTATGTTGCTTAGCGCGTTCGTGCGGACTCTAGGTCGGGGGGTTTAAAGGTCACCAACACCCCAAAATCATATGGCGGTGAGAACAATTGGGCCGTCATATTGCGCTTTATGGAGAGTCGTAGCTACCCTATTCGTACGGAGTTAAATTCTCGAATTGAGCGAAATCCCTTCCCCCGAACAAGAATACCACTGTCTGGAAACTCCCCCCAAAAAAGAATTATCACTGCCTCTAAAGACCTAATTTGCACCAGGGCGTCCAGGCGCAAGGGCAGGAGCAACAGCAACAGCGAGAGCAGGAGCAGGAGCAACCGCAAGAGCAAAAGCAAGAGCAACCGCAGAAGCAAGAGCAGGAGCAAGAGCACTATCAAGAGTAAGAGACGCAGCAGGAGCAGGAGCAAAAGCCAGCGCAGGAGCAGGAGCAAGATCTCCCGAATGTTTATTGGGGGCGCACCCTTAATTTAATCTTAGTGGGAATGGTTTATTGATGAGCAGCGTGGTGGAACCCAGAACCCTATATAGAGTACCCCCCAAAACCCTACACCCCACACCCAAGCCTACACAAAACCCTAGGCCCTAAGCTTTACACCCACGACCTCGACTTGGCTGTAGCTGAGGCTACGACTACGTCCTCCACCACCGTGGCCACTGCGACCGCAACGACCACATCAGGGACCAAGTTCAGGTTTAGGGTTTGGGTGTAGAGTTTAGATTATAAACACTAAGTCATGATCACTGAGCCCTAACCGTTTAGGTCTTGGCGTAGAAGCCTGGGCTGACAGGGGTTGCTGTTGCGGTTCTCGTTTACAGCTTGCAGGAGCACGACATCTTCGACCACAGTGAGAACTGCGTCTGCCACGACCACCTCGGGCGCAGCTGCCAAGTATGAAGTTGATGGCCTTCCCTAAGGGTCCAAGTAGTCCTTATTTATGGTTTTGGGTGCCTAAAAAGGCCCTAAAGTCCTGCAATAGGGAGTACTTGGACCCTCTGGGCTTGGGTTTAGGGGCTTGCGGCTTTTGGGCTTTAGCGTTTAGTGATGTTGATCTTAATGATATTTCGCTCTGGGCATCGAGAGTGGATATTAGGTCCAGCACCGTGAAGCTCAGGCTACACAAACCACAACCACCGTGACATCCTCAAGCACAATTACAACTGCCACTGCAGCCACTGCAACGACCACATCGGTCACAGCCGCCAGGAACTGGATTCGTCGATTTTGTTTGACTAATATTTAACTTGGCAATAAGAGTGGGGTTTGGGGTGATTAATTTGGTATGTTCGCAATAAGGACCGGAAGTATGGCAAAACATGGTCACTATATGTAACTGTATGGTCATATAGGGTATGATAGGTTGCACGATTTTGAGGTTTAGCTTCGAGGATCGGGTCTCTTGTCAAGTGAGCCGTAGAGACTAGGCTGACACCTCCATCCAAATTACGACCACGACATCCTCGACCACGGTGACAACCGCCTCTGCAACGACCACAACGGGGACGGCCACCGGGCACTGGATTCGTCGAGTTTCAAAACTGCTGAACTTGAGGTCTACGGTGCCAAGATAGTAGATTGGCCTCTGAACGAAGTTTTGTTCCGCGTAGGCTGGCGCTACCACCCAAACCACGACCACCACGATGTCCTGGACCGCAATCACGACTGCAACTGCTACGACCACAACGGCGACGGCCGCCGGGCACTGGATTCATCAAGCTTCGATTTGCTACATTGCGGGTTAAGAATTTAGCTTGAGGATAGTTAACATTGCTGGAGCCTAGGCTGATGATGCTACCCACACCACGACCACCACAGCATCCTTGACCACAATGTCGGCCACAATCACGGCTGCCACTGCAACGTCCACATCGGGGACAGCTCTCGGAATTGGATTTGTCGAATTTAAATTTGCTGGACCTAGAGTCATTTCAGCTTCTTATATGCTTTGGCCTGAACAGGTCGGCTGTACAGGGTCACATCGGGTACTGTCAGGAATACGTGGACCAATGTGGTAAGGGTTCGAACATGGGCTGTAGGGTATAGGGTTTAGTGTTTAGGGTATTATAGGGTTTAGGGTTTAGGGTGTAGGGATTAGGGTTTAGGGTATAGGATATAGGGTTTAGAGCTTAGGGCAATAGGGTTGAGTACATGGCGAGCCCCGAAGCCCAGGCTGATCTAGTCACCCAAAACACGACCACTGCGACCACTACCACATCATCTTCGGTCACGATGACCACAGCGACTGCAACTACCACGTCGCGGACAGCTGCCGGGCACTGGAATTGGAGTCCGCAAGAAGTTCTCCTTGCAGAACCCTTGCATACGGAGGGAACGCTTACACAACCTTGTAATACAGAGGCCTAAAACTTCAAAACTGCCAATAAATTTTGTGGGGGGTTCCTTATTAATCATTATAGTATAATATATTCCAGTGAGAAAATATTGCCTTAAGTTGTAGGATCCTCATTATAAGGACCCCCAAAATAAGGTACCCCTAATTTTCGGAAACTCCCATAAACCCTAAACACTCATACACCCTAAACCCTGTACAGCTTTAAGGGGCATCAGGATCGGCCCCTGGGCTCCGAGAGGTTTTCTTCCCCCGCTCAGCTGAGGCTGATTTAGTCCAAGCCACGAGCTCCACTACTGCTACTGCAACAACCACCTCCGTCACAGCTTCTTGGTAAGGTTTCCTTTAAGGGTCCCATAGGGGCTCCTTTGAGGGATCCATAAGGGTTCTATAAGGGTTTGGGGTTTTAGGGTCACAGCTTCTTGGTATAGAAGCCTTAATCATTAGAATAGGTCTATAAGGGGTTACTATAAGGGATCTACAGGGGTACTGCAATCTACAGAATGGGACGTGAAGGCCCTAATAATTAGAAGAGGGGGGTTTAGGGTTTCAGGGTTTAGGGTTTAGGACTGAAGTGTCTAGAGCTTTCAGCGTCTATTGTGTTTAGAGATCATGGAGTCACAGCGTCTTGGCTCTGACGCCTTGGGTTTAGTGTTTCGGGCTTTTGAGCTCTTCAGGTCTAGAGTTTAGCGTCCAGGGTTTAGGGCTGAAGGGGAAGGGTAATTAGTCAAATTTGATATCAGGTCTCGGGACCGGACCGAAGCCCCCTGCCAGGGAACTCTATTCTTCAAAATCTGAAATTCGACAAGAGCCCTAAGGCTTCAGCGCTAAGCCCTATACCCATATAGGCTCTAAGCCAACAAACCCCCCAATAAGCTCGCGAAAAGATCCCGAGAGAAGCCCCTAAACCCCTAACCCCTATAACCCCTAAACCCCAAAGCCCCAAAAACGCAAGGACATGCCGCGCCAAAGCTTTGCTGTTTCCTTTGCTTCGGATCGGCGTCTGAGGCAGACAAGCAGCTTAGGGTTTCAGGCTTACCTGTGGCCCAACATACCTACCTTTCTAAGCAGTTTATAATATAAGCAACTAAGTGCATGTGTATATATATATATATACATGTATTTAGGTATAAGTATATATATATATATATATGTGCAAGCAGGAAATGTCAGTGTTTTTCGGTTACAGGTAGGGTAACCCGCAGATTCAATAACTAGCCCTTAACGACTGCTCAAAGGCTGAATTGACCCGTAGCCATCCCAAAAGCCTCAGAGTGTTGTATGGTCTTTGGGTTCAACAGCCTTCGAACCCCCTCGGGGTCCTAAGTAGTTATAACCGAGAATGTACAGTTTCTGTATAGGGAAAAAGTATGATGATATAAGAAAGCAGCCCCCAGAACAGTACCTTGGGAACATGAGTCCTTCGAGCCTTCGGATTAGGATTTGATTGAAGCGCTTCGATGACCCAGTGCTGTATTGTGGCCCTCTGGTTTCTGAATTCCCTGGGCTGCAGGGCTACCCCCCTAATCCTGACTTAAAGGATCATGGGGCTTAGTAACTACGGTTTTTGCTATAGGATACCCATGGTACTTGTAGCCACATCTACTAAGTCCCATGATCCTCCAAGTCCTGTTGAACCCCTCACCCTGAACCTGAACCATTTAACTTGAAATATGAACCAAAGCACTGAAGAGACAAGTTGCAGCCGCGAACCATAGACCACAAATGGGAGTTTCCGAAACTAGGGGACCTTAATGTAGTACCCTAAATAGTAGGACCCTTATTATAAGGACCCCAAAATCAGGTACCCCGGTACCCCTAATTTTCCGAAACTCCCAAATCCCAATTCGGGTTCCCAGCGGCTGGACCCTCCTAAGAAGCAGGGCTTTTGCGGTTGAAGTCAAGATGTAGGCTTTTTCCGAGGTTTTGGGATCCACTTGTCAGGGTTGAGGGGCTTTGAAATCCAAGAGTCTACGATGTAGGTGGTTGTCAAAATTATGGTTCCTTTTGGGTCCCTAGTATAATACGGCACCTATTATTTAGGGTACCCACAGGGGTACCCTAATTTTGACAACCACCCATGTACATACCCTAAGCCCTAAATCTAAGCCCTAAACCATACACGTCCAGATTTTCGACTCGGGCTTCAAGGTGGCCAGAGAGGTTAGGGTTAGGGCTTCTCTGAACCCGGAATACCCTACCTTCTTAAGGACTTACAGAAGGAAATCAAAATAAGGAACCCTAAAAAGGTAGGTTCTTCAGGGTTAGGGCTTAGGGTCTGTGGTGACCGTCACTGCAGGGTTTGTGCATCCCAAACCTTGAACCGCTTTTGGACCTGGATGTCCAGTGTTTCGTGCCTAGTATAGTGGCTTGAACTACTAAATATTTTATTGGGTTCCTGAGAAGCAGAATTACAGGAGAATATACCCCACAACCCTGTTCTATTTCAGGGGCCCTGCAGTGGCCCTGCAGCATAGATCTCCGAGCCCCGAAGCCAGCAGGCGGCTGCTGTGTGCAATCATGCTGCTGGCAGTGAGCCGGTGAGGGCACTCCATGCCCCAAAAAGCCCAAGAGTCTAAAGACATAAACCGTGAACCCCTGCAGAACCCAAATTCAACCGCTACCCAGAGAGCCCAATACCCCTTACTAACGGAATATGGCTTAAATCATAAGAAGAAGCCCTATATATTTTAAGCCATATTCCTTATTAAGGGGTATTGGGCTCTCTGGGTACTGCTACATTCTACCCCACGAAGCCTCAAACGCAAATCCTGCCCTAAACATTCAGCCGTAACACCACTTTCAGGGTGCAGTTGGCCCTTGAACATCCGATCCCCAAAGTGAGATTGGTTCTTGTGAGGCATGCGGGCAGAACAGAAATTTCCGGGTTAAAGTGTACGGGTTTAGAGGTACATGGTAGGTTGGTTTTGTCCTTTAAGGGTTCTTTGCCAGTTTCTTGTGGGGTTCTGTAACGATTTCGGGTTTACGAGAGCATCACATGGGGGTTTCAGAATTCGGGATTGTCTGGGTTCGTATGTCTTCGGCTTCGGTGGTGTCAAGTAGGGAGTCAGATATCTAACCCTTGTGGGGGGTCCATATGACCAAACACAAAATACTTTGGCCCCAAAGTACCTATATGGGAATTACTATAATGAAGGCCAAACTATATACTATCTGGGTACATGGACCCTTAGGGCAAAAGTAAAGGTCATGGGTGCTACATGACGAGAGCCTGAACCCTAAACCCTAAACTCTACTGCTGATGGACAAAATCCTGCATGACCCTAAGGACTCTAAACTATGGGAACTATAGTATAAACTATGGGAACTATAGTATATTCCTTATAGTGGGTAATGCAGGATTTTGTCCATCAACAGTAGTTGGAGTTTGGAATGGCATCGGTTTGGTGCTTCTTGGGTTTGGACTGTCGGGGTATGGGCTTAGTGTGCGGTTTAGGGTTTAGGGTTTAGGATTGTCTTCGCAACTTCGGGTGTCTAATCGCTTCGTTGTTTGCTGGCTGTCGCATGCTAAGGTGTCATATGGCCGTAAGGCTCAACATGAACAGACCAGAAGGTGCCGGCAGAAGGAGCTGGCGAGACGTTGAGATATCAGCGTAGGGCTTTCAGCACATGATCAATACACGCGTCGATAGCATGACCCGTACCCTAAGGCTCTAAGGACTCAGATATTAAGGCTTTTGGGCCCAAAGGGCTTCTGGGCTGTTTTGAGCCTTAGGGATATAGTGCCGATAGGTTTGTGCCATGATTAATGTGATATGAAACTGTTCTAATTGTAAGGCCCCTATGTTCGTGTTCATCTCGGTTCGCCTCTGCCTCAATCGCCGGCTTGTCAACAGGTAGGTATCTGACAGGGAGTCCCGTTACGAGTAGGTCTCCTGGATTGTTTATGGCTTGCAGTTTCGTGCGCATTAAGGTGTTAGAGTCCAATGCCCGAACCCTAAACCCTGAACCCGTAAGCCCCAAACCCTAAACCCGAACCCAAGCTATGAAACCGAACACTCTGAGCGATTGAATTGATACACTTACTCGAAAGCCCGATGGCTCCATTCCCTATGCCAGAACTCCTTAGCTCCATACTTTCACGGTTCAGGGCTTTCGGGTTTAGGGCATAGGGCTGTAGGGTTTAGGGTCTAGGGTTTATTGCCTGTACCCTTTTCCCTGAACCAGAAGCCCTAAACCCTAAACCCCTAAACCCCTAAACCCCAAAACCCCTAAACCCTAAACCCCTAAACCCCTAAACCCCTAAACCCTAAACCCCAAAACCCCAAACCCTAAAGCCCTAAACGACCACCTTAAAAGCAGCCAGGTGTGAGCTCCCCCCGAGATCGGAAATGTCAATCCAGGGCCTCAAGCAGGTCCCCTGCTAGGGTTTCGGGTTTAGGGGTTTAGGGGGTTTAGGGGTTTAGGGTTAAGAGTCCAGGGTATGGGGGTTTAGGGTTAAGGTTTACTTGGGGACCCTAGGGAGTCCAGGGTATGGGAGTTTAGGATTTTAGGGTTTAGAGTTTTAGGGGTTTAGGGTTAAGAGTCCAGGGTATGGGGGTTTAGGATTTTAGGGTTTAGGGTTTAGGGTTTTAGGGGTTAGGGTTGTGGGGTTTATGGGGTTTAAGGATTAGGGTTTACCTTAACCCTGAAGAACCTACCTTTTTAGGGCTCCTTATTATGATTTCTTCATATAAGTCCTTAAAAATGTAGGTTCGTCGGGGTTAGGGTTTAGGGGGTATTAACATTTAGGGTGTAAGATTATGATGGCTTTTAGACTCACGGCTGGGGGCGAGGATTTATGTTCACGTCCATTAAGGGCTGTTTAGGATGAGGTGCGGCTCAGGGTTCCTGTTTCAGGGGCAGTGCAACGTTGTAGACCCCCGGTGAATAACCTCTCCTCCAAACAAGAGCTCTGCGACGGATCCCAGTACTCACCTGGTAGGAAAGGAAAGGAGGTTCACCATGAGGGGTCTGCATTTAGCTATAACGGCAAGCACCCAACCCCCTCCCCTGATGCACACAAAAACGCAAAGGGCACTGAACTTCACTTTCTGATCTTCATAGTTGGCGCTGAACTTCACTTTACTGTAGTAGAGATCTCCATCGCTGAGTATGTTTTCTTGTTTTTTTTCAGGAGTGTCTCTACGATAACCTAAAAAGTTTTAGGAATTCGGGGTAGTACTACTACGATAGAGGTCTTAACAAATTAGAACAGGGTGTAGGGATCTACTGTACTAGTTATAGTTACAATAATGAGGAACCCCCAGACCCCTATTCTAATAATTAAGGCTCGGCCCCCGTATTCACAGCTTGGTAATTTCAGGGGTGAGGTTGCAGATCAAACGACCGGGTGCTGATCGCTTTGTGGGATTCCCTGATGTAAGATTTTCATGGCATAGGGTTTCTAGGACCTCAATGACTCAACGGCCTAAGGCATGAGCCCGTAGATCCCTAGGGCATGGCATCCAGAAGCCACAGATGCCGGGCCCCGTCAGCACTGAAAGACGTCCTGGGGGCCTCCGATCTAGTTATTAATTAAACCCTGCATATCCTAAACCCTAAACCCCTAAACCCTAACCTAAACCCCTAAACCCCAGCCCTAACCCTGAACGCCCACAACCCCAAACCCTAAACCCTAAACCCCAAACCCTAAACCCTAAACCCCTAAACCCCTAAACCCCTAACCCCTAAACCCCAAACGCCCAAAACCTGGGGAACCCGAAGTTTCCCACACATCTACTTGGAGGGGCAGGAAACTTGCGGTTGATGATATAAATCTTGCATTACCCATTATAAGCCATATGCCATAGTTCCCATAGTTTAGAGTCCGAAGGGTCATGCAGGATTTTGTCCATCAGCCGTAGTATGGGTTCTTAAAGGGCTCCTTAAAGGGATCTCTAGGGTTCCTTGAAGGGATCTATGGGGTTCAGGGTTTAGGGTCTACTTGGAGGGGCAGGGGACTTAGTAAGCAGGTTATAAGTAGGCTTGGGGTAGCTCCATTCAGGGTACTTATAACTCTACTTATAACCTACTTACCAAGTCCCTTTGCCCCTCCAAGTAGGCCCTGGCTAGACATCCTAGCCCTAAACCCCTAGACCCCTTATAGATCCCTCAAAGGAACCTCCAAAGGGTTCTATAAGGAAGCTATATGAGCTCTATTTGGAGTTCATGGGTAGTTATAAGTAGGCCCTGTCATAAGTAGGATAGCTCTAGCTGCAGCCTATATTAAGGTAGCTATCATCCCTTTGTACTACCCATGAACCTCCAAGCACGTCCCTTTAGAGGAAATTACAGGAACCCATTAAAGGAACCCCAAGGCCCCACCAGAATTTCCTGAAGTTGCATGTCCCAATCGCATCAACGAGAAGGCCTGCACCAAATTAAGCTTCGACTCTGGACAGGCGTGTCAATGTCTGCCAAATCTCCGTCGTTGGTCGACACATGTTGACGGTCAAGACTGTCGGACTAGTCTAGCAAGAAAGTTGAGCATGTGCCAGACAAGAACCCGAGATGAACGTTTGGACTGCGACAAATCAATAGTCGGTCCTGCAACTCGGCATCGAGTCGAAGAACAACCGTGTGCGACACCTGCGTGCAGCGGAAAGGACACAGCACATTGCATTCATGAAACGGCGCGGCCTGACCTCAATAAACCGTAAGCGAGAGAAGCAAGCACGGACGCTGTCAGACAACATACAGACCTGGATCAGAGACTAACAATGCTGTTTTGTCGACCTTTCTCCGGCTGGCGAAGGAAATCCCTATCACTTCGTATAACCGCCTTCCCCTGCCAGCCATATTTACCCAAGTTTAGTCTTGCTGTCCAATCAACAAGTCGCTGCACTGAAAGATTTCGGCTCTGACACGGTGACGAGATCGAACATGGAGTTGCAGTTGCCTATTGGAGACATCCTGTTACCAAGTTGGGGATTCAAGGGTTTGGAAGCTTTAATGTGTGAGCTGGCAACAGTAGTGGGGCCCGCTTCGTGTTGCTTTCCGGTCTGGCACTGGATGTGGAAAACGACCCCAAACCCCAAACCCGAAACCCTAACCCCAAAACCCTAAACCAAAGCCTGAAACCCTAAACCAAACCCCTAAACCCTAAACCCAAACCTGAGACCCTCAACCCGAACCCCAAGGCCCCACCAGAATTCACCAAAGCACTCCTGTCAGGGCACCTTCGAAGGAAGGCTCTCGGGCGGCTACACCGGAGGCTGCTCGCCTGGGTCCTGTAAAGGAGCCCTTACCTTGAAGGAATCCCCTTAAAGAAACCCGTTATAGATCCCTTAAAGGAATCCCTTTAGAGGAACCCTTATAGATCCCTTGAAGGAATCCCCTTAAAGAAGCCCGTTATAGATCCCTTAAAGGAATCCCTTTAGAGGAACCCTTATAGATCCCTTGAAGGAATCCCCTTAAAGAAACCCGTTATAGATCCCTTAAAGGAATCCCTTTAGAGGAACCCTTATAGATACCTTGAGGGATCCCCTGAGGGCCCCTTCAAGGGTGTAGGGCAGAGGATGGTGGGTTCAGGATTTCCGTGT